TCCACTGTCCGACAGACAGTGGATGAAGATCAAATCCATTCCCTCTTGTAATTTAGATAGTTAGATAGTTCCTTTTGTTAGTTTAGTTTAGTTTCCATTTATATTTATATTTTTTTCATTTCTCAATTGCACCCGCCTCTTCACTCTGACCTATTACTCTTAGTGTACGCGGCTCAATCAATAAACACAATTTTAAAAAAAAAAAAAAATCTATTCTGTGATATTTGACTATATAAATTGTGATAATCACCCTACGCTTCTTAATACATTCTTGAAGTACTTTTCAAGGCGCTTCTAATGGTGTCGACTGAAATAAGTGTTTTGAATGAAATTATTGTGCAATTTGGTAAAGTATAAAATGAGGTTTTTACCGAAAATAGCCATATTTTGCATATGAAAACCTCATAAAAGTGGTTTCAGAGGTTGCTTTGGATCCAAAGAAACATTTTGATCCTATACATATCATAGCAAAAGTCTTCATTTTCAAGGTCAAAAATGCGATCGTTTGATTTTCAATGAAAACCATGAGGTATCCCTCATGCTTTTTGGTCGATTTTTGGCCATGTTTTTTAAGTCTCCAAAATGTTGAGCAAAGGTGTCAGGAAGTTACTACTACTCAAGTACAATTGTTGGGTGTCATTCCGGTGGCTCAGAAAGGCCTACATGTCAAGATATGAAGGCCTGAAATCTGGTAAATTTGGTTGAAATCTTGCTTTATGGCTTTTACTTACACGGTATGAATCACATCTTTGATAGCTGAAATCTTCTGGAAGGGCAGTTCTGCATCCTGTGCAACTTCTAATTCAAATAGGAGGTATAGTAATTCTGGTAACACTAATTTATGCAAATTTTGATAGGTTATGTTGTTGGTAAACTTGATAATAATGGAAATGAAAAACCAAATTTGCTACTTGAGTATTATGATTTTGCACCTTCGCTTCGCTTCGATCAAGCCCTCATATAGATCAATGTTACCAAGTGTTGGATTAGATGCCTGATTACCATGGCTTTGTGCCTTTACTTCGGTACAGTAAAACCCCCCTATAAATCAATGCTATCAAGTGTTGAATTAGATGCGTTATGTTCTTGTATATTATACAATATGTACTATAACTTTACTTGCTATGCCACATGGGGACCGTTCGTTATCCACTTTAACTGTGGACCTGACTCTTTTGCAATGCCTCGCGTTTGTACCTATAAAAAACATGCATAAGAGGGCAGACAAACTACCGCCATTACCTCCAACATCACAAAAATATGAAAACCACAGCAAATTTGGATGCATTTAAGTAGCAATTTCTCGTGTTGGAGGCCGTTTTAGACGGTCAGAATAGCGCCAAATAGTTGCCCTCATCTAGCATTCACTTACTGACACCTTTGCTCCACTTTTTGTGGACCCAAAAAACATGGCCAAAAATCAACCAAAAAGCATGAGGTACCCCTCATGGTTTTCATCAAAAATCAAACGATCGCGTTTTTGGTCACCAAAAATACGACTTTTACTATGCCATATATTGAATCAAAAGATTTGTCCCAACTCAAGGCAGCCCCTGAAACTTCATCTGCGAAGCTATCGTATGTAAAATCTCGACATTCTCGCCAAAAACCTCAATTCATATTTTGTCAGATTGCTCTATAAGCTTACTCAAAACACCAGTTATAACTAGCACCATTGGATGCGGCTTGAGAAGTGTTTTTAGAATGCATTAGGAAGTATTTTTTTTGTAGGGGAATCGAGTTCCAGGTTTCATTTAAAGTCCTTTAGATGTCATACTGAGGGATAGAAAAGACTGTTGGTGGACCCAATGTCTGCAATGAAGGGGAATAAGGTATATTTTGAAACTAAATTGAGAAGGAAATCTACTACTAATAAGGTGCAACACGTAGAGCCAATACAATCCTGCGAGAATCGTCAAAATATAGATAATGGATGAGCACAAAACACCAAACGAGGACATCAGTACTACGTCAAAATAATCAAACAACATGCGTTCATCAGGATTCGAACTTGGGGCCTACATTTGGCATGGTGTACGCCTTAACCGACTCTGCCCAACCGCCAGGGGCGCATTAGGAAGTATGTGATGATCATCAAAGTTTACATAGTCAAATCAGGTAAAATAGATAAAAGAAGACCAAAACCTGGCCCATCTTCGATAAAAGAAAAAGAGTCGGAGTCTTACCCAATTTTGGCTGCCAAACTGCCTTTTGATGAAAGCAATTGACGTTTTTACGGTTAATACGAAGGATATTGCGAATTAAAAAGCACTATAGCTTAGCTTTTCTATTTTTATGCTTTTTTCGTTGATTTTCGTAGCTGCAAGAATTCATTTGTGGCAAATCGCTTATTCAAATGTGAAGCCTAATTTGAAATGCTATGATGATAAATATCATTTGTGATGGCATAATGGTCCTGGCTATCTTATGTTATCAGACGCTCTCAGTAAATTAATACCATAAACATCAAATAAATAAGCCAAAGAATAAATTATTCAGCGAAAATTTATGGCTAGCTTTGACATGATGTGTTCTCTGCAGACTAGTCAAGAAGTCAGAGACAGACCTGAACATCACTGTAAGTTTTTTCCTGTTGTTTCACAGATGAATGCATATAGAAAGTAGCGAGGCACAGAACTATTATTCGCAAAGTGATTTAATCAACTGACGTATTTCGCTCAAGTTTTGGGAATATCGAGTTTTCTCCTTTTCTTTCTTTGTTTGCACACATGAAATTAGAATACAATGCTGGCCTGGAAGCAGCATATGTCCCTGGAAGACATTGTTCATCTTTGGGACAAACTGGACCTTTTTACCCATTTCAGGAAGTATGTATGCTACCTTTCTTTAGCAAACCTGATCCTTTATCTAAACACGTACGATAGTAAGATTGGATAGTTAAATACAAGAGATGTATTGTCCAAGGATAGTGATTGTGCAGGTATGCGCTGCCTTGCTTTTACTTTGATGAATGTAGTAGCTTATTGATCGTTATGGATTAGGAAGCGCTCATGATAGCAGAAACATCGCCATCATTAGTGATGCTAATTTATGCAGCGTGTCTAGATAAGCGCAACAAAATTCCTTTCATAGGTTTCCTTCTGGCTCTATTCGTTCTTATATTCAAGGTGGCAACAGTCGGTTGTGTCAAGCATAGAACAGTTGGGGCTAAGTATGCATTTTATGATTCGATTATAAATGTCAGTGTGTATGCAACTGGAAAACACGCAACAGGCCAGCTTGACGAGAGCTTAATGTGGGCGCACTTGGCTGAAAATATTGTGCTCATCATATGGTAATGTGGGCATTATTATGTGAGTTTAGTGTCGTTTTTGATACCACAACCTGGCAACGGTTCACAGCAAAGCACACAAGTAGTTGCACTGATAGTATTCAGCAGAAGGATTTACCATTAGATGACACAATTAGCGTTACAAGAAGTTTGCCATCGTATTTATTCGGATACTGTATCGCCTTACTCCTATACCCCAAAGCAAATGAATTTACCGCCTGCATATGAAGATGATTCTGGTAATGATAGCTATACAAGACATAATTTGACTTAACCTAAGCCGGCATTTCTAGGACAACATTGAATTATATGGAGCATATTTATCACCATCAGCACATAACGTAGAGTCACGAACGAAATAGCGAGGAATCCATAGGCTTTGATGTTGATGATGAGAAAAGCCGAGCAAAAAGTATTAGGAACAATTGTATTATTCAATAAATAAAGAGAATAGATACAGCAGCGGCAATGTAGATCAAAAGGTTCAAGTGGAGATGTGTTGTTCAATGCTAACATTGGAAACGACTTGATAGCAGTTTAGCACATTTACATGAAACATCAATGCGCAGACTATTAAATACATGCGCTTGTATAGTAATCAGCTTTTATATTAGGTGTGTGGGGACAAATCAATATACTCCAATTATTATGGTATACCAATTTGTGCCCATCTTGCTCAACAAGCAGTGCGACGTTTATGCACAAGGGCCTTCTTATATGTACAAGACATGAATTTTGAAGCAAGAAAAAACATCTGGCCTTAATCCCATACGCCAATGCTGTACCAAGCAGTCAATACAAATCCTACAACGCGCCCTTCATCTCTTGTACATCTGCAAAATTTGAACGTGGTAGTATACTGTTTTGAGATTTTCGTTGCATTGGAACCATTGTTCAATGTTAGACACATGCCATTGACAGCATTTTCAGATTAATTGTTTGTTTGATTTGATATCTCGACTGCAATTGGAAATTCACTGGCCATAAAGACCCTTGAAACACAGATTTGAACGCTCTGAATGGTTTTAAGGGTCGAACTTAATGTAGGAACTCGATTTACTGCTCTCCAAACGCCGAGAATTGTCTCAATCTGATTTAGAAAGGTGATGAACGACGATCCTATGATCTTGCGGTATAATATAACCCTCCTACATGCATCAAAGTGGAACTAATGCATCAGAAATCCTTCCTTTGGGCTTTAGAAACCTTACGATGGTATTGCCTACATCTAAAATAGTCTTAGATTTGAATAGACACATTGATATAAATATAGATCAGCACAAAAATAAGGGATTTTAACGGGTCATCGTTACCATAAAAGAGTATGAGGGGAAGAGGGCCGCATCTACATTGCCGCTTTACATAAACCATTGTTTTTACCTATTCCCACGAACAAACCAAACAAGCCGATTAATTTTTTTTTTTTTTTTTTTTTACGAAAGACAGTGATTTATTTTGATTGTGATATATAAAAGAGAGGCAGGAATATACAAAAAAAGGGAATTAGAAAGCGAGATTATGTAATAACGAATGTAAGGGGAATATAGAGAATATATAATATACAGGACAAGAATTACAAACTTATCTCGGAGAGATTAAGATTAGTAGCAAGTATGTGCGCATGAATTGTCATGCACTTTTTTGTGCGTGTGTGTTTTGAGGTTCTGTATGATGTACAAAATAGGTAATATTGGATTATATCATTGTCTTAACGAGCAGCTTGAATAGTAAACTTGGGAGAAGCATTACCAGAGTTACCCATAAGAACGATGATATAGGAAGTTTTGGTTTCGAGATCAGCAGGCAAGGTAATGGTCTGAGAACCGGCGTTCAATGCGAAATCCTTGGCAAGATCACCAAACTTGAGATGCTCGTTGTAGGGATCATTGTTTTCGAGGTAACCCAACTTGATTGTACCTTTGTAACCATCGGGAATAGGAACTTGTTTACCAGTGCCATCGTTGTAGGTAGTTTCCCACTTGACAACGTAAGATTGACCAGCTCTCCACTTGGTGCCTGAGTTGGGTGTGGTAATCTTGGGGTTGATGACAAGAGCGCTTGCCATTGACAAGAGGAAAGCAAAGAGGAATAAGATGCTGGTTGTAGTCTTGTTGAACATTTTGAATTGTTGTTATAGAATTATTGATATTTGATATGAATAATGGAGAAAAAAGAAAGGAAATGTTGAAATTCTCGTCTTATTTATAGACGAAAAAAAAAAGGTACGTGCATGAATGAAAATGGAAAAATCCTTTAGCCCAAACATCAATGATGATGCTGATTATTTTGAAACACTAGCATATTTTACCAGTCAGTCGTAAAACCTTATAGTTATTTTAACCGTTTGGGTGTGTGTTGCTATATTTAAAAAACAACGCCTTGCCGTTTATATCACCTGTATATCATTTTTCCATCACAAGATGCTCTGTTCTTTCTATTATTCTACCAGACAAGCCAAGCAATGTTAATATACAAAGTAATAAAGAGCATTTTCTGGGGTTATGAAGAATTAAAGGGTTGCATAAATTTCGAGTGGATAAACTGCTGGTAAAGCAGAATTATGCTTGGGGCTTTTACCTGGATGTTCTGCATACTGTACGCTGGCCAAAATCAAAGTTCAAAATCCCATCCCCTGTGTGTTGTTTGCAATTTTTTTTTTCAGCCCAAAAAATAACATTGAAATTATAATTTTTTTAGACACGACAACAACAACAGCAACAACAACAAGCCCAAACGAGGCTGACAGACAGCATATTTGACAATAGATCACTTTTTAGCTTAGCATTTTGAAACATTTCATCCCTCCATTTTGGATTTTCCATCTTGCTGAATTAAGGGGGAGATAAATTTGAATTCAAAGGGTGATCTTACATCACCAATTGAATAGCTTAGATACATACGAAACTCACTCTCTGACCACACTGACAAACGAGTTAATAAAGTCTCCTAAATGAATTACGCTATACAGTTTATCTCCCCTCCTTTTTCAGATCTATAGTACGAGTAATTATTAAATCATATTGCCACTATTTGCCATCATTTTGATAGGCGTATAGCGTGGAATATTTAGGATTGAATATGGTTAAACCTTGTAGCATGAATACAATTCATGCAAATACAGTTTTCCTGCAAGCTCAATTAAACTTTTTTGACGTACAACTATGGTGAAAACCACGGAAAAATGATTTGCTTGATAGTCATCGATGACCCAGGGAACTTTCCATCATTTTTGTCGATATCTTGTCCAGATATGAAGAACGCGTAAAATGCACATCAAATCCATGATGTCGAATGACCATTTCCATGTCGTACACGCATATATAGATATACACACGACACATGCGTCCGTAGTAATTATCCAGGATGAGTAGCCAATGTATATAAAGGCTCTCGTCTATCATTCTGGGCAAAATAGAATGTTGTCGATCCATGGCTGGATTTGATTTATTTGAGCGTAGGTAGAATGTTGTCATAATGCTGTTCTTAATTAAAAAAGTTGCCAAATCGAATCTTATGATTAGCTCATTTTATGTACTATAAAGAGGAAATAATGGGCTGAAATTAAGTCTATACATGTACATTACACTACATCAAAGCCTGTCAACACGATTCAAAAGTCGTCATTGACAATCAATGTTGCCATGTTTCGTGGTGCTTAGTATTTGGAACGCATTCAAGTGAATAATGACATAGTGCTCGCACTGAGTTGAATAAATGGTGCGAATGAAATCAAGAAGGCTTATCATGACATGGAAATTACACGCTGGATTTGCTTGGCAACCACGCCGCATTCTTTGTGACAATATAGTGCGACTTTTTGACTTGAGCTCTTAGCAGGTCATGGGAGTCAAGAACGATGTCGCACAAGATGCATACCAAATACAACCATTGGAAATGGATCTAGTGTTTTCAAATGTGATCATTATTGTATCAAAACAAACAGAATGATTTATGCTTGCTCTTCAACATACATACAAGCTAAGCCTTAGACTTTCTGTCCTTTTCGTAAATAAGACCATTCTCGGCTTTAAATGTATATGTATTCGAACCAGGATCATGCCACTCCGCGAATGTTATTTCTAGGATTTCTATATGATGTCTTTTCGTCTAGGAGATCAGTGAGGCTGCTAGACCTGTTCTTTACTATGAAAAATGAACTAGTAATAGAGTTGAAATAAGAAATACCGATCAATACTTGATTTTACCAACAAAGAACCACTGCAAAATGTGATCACTGGTGTGCAGAATATCCTGTAGAGATCATGCATCTACCAACGGTATGTACAAACCAATGCGTTCTATAGGGCGTGCGACAACAAATCAGGAGCGGTTACAAAAAATCACTCCATATAAAGAGGCAGTCTTTATTGCTGCAATAGATTCAAATTTGTTGTCTCCTGCGTTGGACTTTGACGTAAAATAATCAGCCACATCCTAGCAATATACACCAAAGTTTCACTTTCAAATTTTCTATTACTAAGCAAAGCCCTTCATAAGCAACCTGTAGCAGCAAAATTGGCTCTTCTAAGATACTTTGCAACTGTATTATAGAAAAAATTTATATACAAGCAGTTAGCCTATTTGCATTACCTCCAGCCTCACAAAAATATGAAAACCACAGCAAATTTGGATGCATTTAAGTAGCAATTTCTCGTGTTGGAGGCCGTTTTAGACGGTCAGAATAGCACCAAATAGTTGCCCTCATCTAGCATTCACTTACTGACACCTTTGCTCCACTTTTTGTGGACCCAAAAAACATGGCCAAAAATCAACCAAAAAGCATGAGGTACCCCTCATGGTTTTCATCAAAAATCAAACGATCGCGTTTTTGGTCACCAAAAATACGACTTTTGCTATGCCATATATTGAATCAAAAGATTTGTCCCAACTCAAGGCAGCCCCTGAAACTTTATCTGTGAAGCTATCATATGTAAAATCTCGACATTCTCGCCAAAAACCTCATTTCATATTTTGTCAAATTGCTCATTAAGTTTGTGATGAACATCAATTTTAAATAGCACCATCGGATGCGGCTTAAAAAGCACTCCAAGAAAATTTAAAGGAGTATGAGATAATTACCACAACTTTAATAGTCAAATTGAACAAAATAGGTCGAGCAAGTCGAAAATCGACTGAAATTAACAAATAAATCTTTTTTTTTGTTTATCTGAGTTTGAACGGTTTTTTGGCTGGCAGGCTCAATTGGCATTGTTTTTCGTATCATACGTTGCTTCTGGAATGAGTTTTGGCACTTCTTGCTGATTAGATTAAAGAAATGCTGGGAAATTATATGTCTACAAGTGAATGTAGGCGAGATTCATCTCTTTCCTTGAATTCTATCGATAATAGGTATTGTGAGTTCTGTTCCTCAGATCATGTCGTTTGTATGGCATTGAGACATCATGCTGTTCAGGCACCATCCGACCAAGAGCACAATCTGATTGAGAATTACATGCATGATTAGGTGGACATTGCGTTGGCTTATCTGAATGGCTAATCAATTGAGCATAGTTATCATGAGAAGCTGACTGCCGTATCCCTAGTAGACTTGACAGTTCCCTTGCGATACTAAGGAAAAAAAGCGTTTATAGATTGCAAGGCATTTCATAGTTTGAATCAAAGTAAAAAGTTTCGCTTTCTACAATCACATGCACTCCAACTGTTCGTATCAATTTTCAATCAATGGAAATTGTACCATATTTTTTCAAGAAGCCCAATTACTTGGAAAATGGCCAGTATTTGGAAGCATCACAAGCCTGAATGATCATAAGATCAAGATGGTTTCCACGAATGATAGTAATGGTGCTTGAAACAGAAAATGCGTATTTTCTTGTGGTATTCCATTAGTCAAAGACATTTTAAACAAAATACACTTATCGATTTGTGAGTTTCGTAAAACGCCAATCCAACTATAGCATTTGCAGATAACATGCACTGCAATAATCGTACAGCGACTTTAAATGGAAAGATCCATAGATTGCAAGCTGATTTCAAGAGAATGCCATCTACTAGAAAAAACGTACCATGGCAAAATTTATTTTAAACTTTGATGAAATACACAAGCTTAATTCCTTTCAATTTTAGTCAACCCTAAATGTAGGTACAACGCTAATTGATTTATATTGGATCATGTACCTTGGCTAATGCTTTATACCATTAGTTGTTTTATGATTTAGTACATTTTTGAAACTATAAAAAGACTGTTACACGCGTATTGTATAATGTAAACACATTGCTTGAAAAAACATGATATGATTTTTTTTTGAGAAAGCAAAATGCTGCGAATGGAAAGCAATCTCTAGTTTCCCTTTTCTTTTCTTTCCTCACTTTCTCATCCTGTTTGAAAATAAATGGATTGATATATTTTGCAATAAACAATAAGTGTATATAACTAATGACAGCGTACATTTCTTTTAGATGTACGCAACAATCGAATAAATATTACAAAGAAAGGGTATGCAATTGTTCTTTGAGCGTGTGTGGATGTGCTGGATAGATTATAAGGGGGGATAAATAGAGAGAGAGAATACTAATATACAATTTTACAGCCAATTACTAAAAGATGAGGTTGATGCATTTGCAGCCAATGCTTGGTTTGATGATGCACAATCAGCAGCACGAGAGCAGTTGTTCTTCAAGGAGCATTCAGCAATACTACGAATACCACCACATGTGTTGTTGCTATCAAAAGACAATGTCTGCTTCTTGAGCAATAACTTTTGCTGCCTTTTTTCTTGCTGTTTCTTCTTGACACTTGCACCGGCGCCACCACAGCATTTACCGCCATTCTTTTCCTTGTTCACACCACCACAACAGCCATCCTTGCCCTTGTTTGCAGGAGAACACGATGCACCGCCGTCATTGGAGCTACACTGGCAATTGGATGCATCTTCGATTTCGTCTTCTTCAACCACCACCTGATCCACAATGGTTTGTCGACGCTTGTGGTCCTCCATAGTGTCTCTTGTCTGTTTTGCACGCTCCTTCTCGGTTAGTGTAGGTTTGTCGAGATACACCAGCTTGATAAAGTTGCCAAAATCACAGGCTAAGCCAGCACCATCCAAAGGAATGACATGTCGCACCGCAGAGAAAGGTAAGTTTTCGCTTGCTTCCAGATTTTCTTCCTCCAAGTCGTCATTCTCATCATCAAAATTTTTAGCATCGTCATCCTGCTCGTTGATGTGAGCATGAATGCCCTTGTATCTCAGTTGGTCCTTGACATGGGCAGCGGAAGCAGTAGCAACACCATGATTTGAACCAGCAGATGATGGTGATGAAGTAAACAAGCCAAGCAATGTGCCTCTCAAGACTTGTGTGGCCTTTTGTGAGTCTTCATCCTTGTCGGCCAGCGGAGCTAATGCTGTGTTTTGTTGATCATCGTCCAGATTGAATGTTTCAATAGGAATCTTCATAGTGCTGACATTGCCATCCTCTTTAGACACAGAGGGATCATAGTACTGTAAAGAAGCAAACCAGGCCTCCCATTCACCATTACCGTGTTTCTTTTGCGACCTGTCATTGTTGTGCAATGAACTGATACGATGACGACGAACACCTGCCAAGATCTTATCACAAAAGACGATATCACGACCAGCGGGTTGATCAATTTTACCAAGGAAGGTAGGCTTCAAAGGAATATAGGCATCTCCAGCTAATTGCTCAATGTCCAATAGCTCCAATAAGTCGTCCTTGAAGGCATTGCTGTTGTTGCTAACTACAGCAGCGATAGGTGCACGGGCAGTAACATGTCTCTTCTTGACAGTTGGACTATGGCCGCCTTGTTGCGAGGAGCGACGTCTTCTATTAGTAGTAGCAGACTTATGCAGTAGAATATCACTGGCGCCGTCATCGCTGTTACTGATAGAAGACTTGCGATGCTTGTACTGCTTGCGATGATAGTCTTTTGTGCACAATGTACAAGAGCCTTCATGGCCATTGTCAGAACGTTCCAAGCGCCAAGCATGCACCTTGTTATCCATGGCACTGGAAGCAATCAAGAAACCGTTACCAAAGCAGGTATCACAGCCACGACAAAGGCCTGGCCCGTTCTCTACTTCACAGTAGCGTGTCACCACCACTTGATAGATGGCGCCACGATGATCAGACGCAGTATGACGAGAGAGAGACGAGAGCGACGAATCAGAGGAATCATCATCATCAGAGCTATCGCTTACATCGTGGCTGCTCATGTGTGTTGAAAATTTGGAGAATTTGCGGATAGGGCCACCTGCATTGCCTACACTAAAATCAGACGCAACAGAGGCAGCCGAAGACATGCTTTGAAATGATGCGGATGTCATCTTGCCCAAAGACAATGCACACACAGATTCACCTGTTTCAAAGTTCCATACCTTGACAGAACCATCACTGCAACCCGTGACCAGAACACCCATGCCACCGACAGGCTGTTCAGTAGCGATACATGTAACAGGGCTATTCAACTTGATCGTATAGACAAGCGTCCATTTCGCTGGTTGATGGTGATCCATGCCGTCTGCTTGGTCTTGTGTCATGGAAGAGAACGCAATGAATCGACGATCCCAACACTTGACAGTGCCGTCCTTGGAGGCAGTAAAGACCCAAGTAACACCAAGCTTGCGATGAGGAGCTTTGGAGTCCACGACATGCACTTGAATAATATCCTTTGTGTGGCCCGTCTTGATTGTTTGGACGCATTCACCAGACAAAATGTTCCATTCATGGAGATTACCGCTTTTATGAGCAGAGACAAGGTAGTTTTGAGACGCTTCCACGTCAGGAGAAGTAGAAGAGCGACAGCGAGCAGCAGCTTCGGCAACCAGGGGATGGCAGAACTCAGTAATGACACCTATAAAGGCGATGCACAAGATACGATCCACGGGTTTCTTGCGAGCACCATGACCGCTAGGCAAAGTCGCATTGGACGAGGCAGTGGAGAATACAAAGCTGCTATAGCTCAAGGTAGGAGAATTTGATTCACTCAAATTGCCGTTGAGTCTGTTGCGCATGGTGCTGTTGTGGGATTGCTCTTCGTGCACTTCCACAGAGGGCATTTGAGGGTGCACGTCCATCTCGCGAACAAGGGTTCCATTGCTCACGTTCCAAACGCGAATCAGCCCATCATCACAGGCAGCAGCAACCCATTTGTTGCCTTGATCAATCTTGACGAGACGAGCTTTGGAAAGGTAATTCTTGGACAAGGAGATGGGGCGTTGTAGCTGTTGTTGTTGTTGGGATTCTTGCTGTTGCTGATGTTGTTGGCGGAGTGATTTCCTACCAAGCCCCTTCTTCTTGCTGCTGTTGGACGGATAAAAGATGGGGTTCAAAAGAGACTGAAGCATGCCACCGCGCGAAGGATACAACTTGTCAAGTCGAGCCATCCAAGTAGCCTTCTTACTATCGACATTCCATAGCACAATACGACCATCTTGGCCACAAGAGACCAGGCTTTGCTTTGCGTTCGAATCCAAGTTTTGTATATCAGCAATATGTTGGTTTATCAAAGTACGCACTTGCACAGTTTTGACATTGGCACGGTACTGCTGTTGATTAAAGATGTTCTGTACAGTGATAGCGCCACGGTGATGAATACCGTCTGCATCATACTCCTTGATGCCGCCTTCAGATGTTGGGCCCTTGACCCAGGTAAAGTACATGCGCTTCAGATACTGCGTGGGATAGCAGCGAATTAGGTACAAAAAGAACTGGTTGAAGCAGTGGATCAGAAGAGGGACCAGCCATTGTTTGCGCCATTTGGGCGTCATCCAAGTGATAATACCAATCATGACCAGGCAGAGGATCAAGATGGGGATGTTGATGCTGAGGACAAACACCAACAGGCTTTGCAAAAGAGACAAGACGAATCTGCGGAAACGAGATGGACGATACTCGGTTTTATAGTGGATGGCCTTTGATTTGACCTGGTATAGTTGTTGCAGGAAATCAAGATGCTGCTGGACACGATGGATATCGTTGTCGACAATGAACAGTTCAGGAGGCTGGATCTGGAGCCAGGTGATGTCTTTCTGTGGGTTGACAGTGGACCAAAATTGATCTGACAACTGGTTCAAGTCTGGTAGGAACTTTTCTGGTGTCATCAATGCACTGGGCACACTGGCAAGTCGACTGCTGTGGTTATGGCGATAATGATCTTTTGACACAAACAATGATAGTAAGAGAACGATTAAACAAAGCTAAATAAGACGCATGTTAGATACAACGACACATTCGACAAGAGCCACAGCTAACATACCATAAAGGCGCAGAACACTCGATGCGTCTTAAACTCTTTGCACTCAGCACATGATTTGGCATCTTCTTTGTTTGCTGTATCTTGGATTGGACAGAAGTCAGATTGAATTCTTTCTTTGTCGTGATCAAAGCTTGCCAATTCATGTAATCGCTTGGACATTTGACGGTCATCTAAATCAGCCAACTATACGAATTATGATAGAAGCATGAGTAATAGAAGCATTCAAGCTGAGCTATGCCCACAATTACCTCAACGCGTTTGATATCAATGGATAGCACAGCAATAACAAATGTTAATTCCAGGACGTAGTCTACAATCAAAGCGACCTTTGCAAATGTGCAAAACTCCTTGACAAGGTCAGTGTCCATGTGTGTACCCACAGTGAGAATGAGCAGTTCAGCAATTAACGTAGCCGTCATAGGAACACCGACACTTTGCAAGCCTATTTATACAGAATGAGATGCTGCGAGAAAAAAAAAAACAACGCAATTGGATGATGCCGCTCACCTCTGCTTATCTTTTCCTTGACAATCATATCGCAGCCAGCGTACAAAACTGCATTTGTCAGCAAAAAGATGTTCTCCAGACAGCCAATGTTAACGACGAGCAGCAGCAGATACCAAGGCACAGAGTGGAATGAGATCCCGAGTTTGTCAAAAATACCCCAAGTGGTGGTGAAACATGCAATCGTTAAAAACACAGCCGCTAAACCAAATGTATACCCAGACTTGACCAAATTCGATTTTCCAAATGCCATTGATACCAAGAAGAAGGCGATAATGTAAGCAACAATGGAGAATTGGACATTGTAGGGTATGTCGTATGGGAACAAGTTAAACTATAATCAAAGGCTTCAGTTTTTCTTTTCCAGCATCCATCAGGAAATTCAGGGGGTGGGGTTAAAGTTACCTTGTATTGAATCATATGCGGCACTGTATTTGATAAAGAAGACCATAAAATGCCGTCTCTGTCATGATGCTGCTGGACATCCAAAACATCAAATTTTGATTTGACTTCTTGCAGGATTTTGTTCCAAATAGTCAGCGTATCTCCACTTTGTTGTGTCTGATTCAACACAAATGTCAATAAAACTGCGTCAGCTTTGATAAATTTGCCTTGCTGATCGAATGTTGCATTGGAGTAGACACTGTACGGATGCGTTTCGTATGAATGGTCGCTATTGTCCAATTTCGTATTCAATGTCCAATCAAGTTCATTTTGAAATGCCATAAATGGTGGGGCATGTATCAAGCAGTGGCCGTGATGTTTGTAGCATATCGTTGCCAGAGAAACAGGAGCAGAACTGCTGCTGACAGTGACCATGGTAGTCGTGATGCTTTCATAGATTTGTTTTGCCAGTTGGATTAATTCGTAATTTACTGATTCATCTGGTCGAGAAATTCGAATTTGTTCCGTTAATAAATAATTTGTGGGTGAGTTTCTTGATAAACTGAAATTGTTGAATTGAACGTGAGCTGATGCATGCCAACACTGCGCATCTAGTGAGGTTGCTATGTGTGTTGATGGTATATTGTTATGTAAAGTTGGCGCTACGACGTCACTGAAGTATTTGGATACAAGAGGTATAGAAAAGAATGATATGAAAGATAAAGAAAATAGCAGTAATAGGTTGGTTCGAGATGCTACTAATTTTCCATACTCATAGTATTGATTTGATAGTATCTTTACTATCCTATTGGCAGCCCGGATAGGCATTTAATGTGTTGTTTCAATGAATGAAAAAAGAAGGTTGAGGTCTTTTTTTTTTTTTTTTTTTTTTTTTTTCTTGGTAGCAAAAAGACAAAAAGATAAAGTGTATAATAAAAAAGAAGGAGAAAGAACAAAAAAGGTGGGGGGGTTGAAAGAAATTTTTGTTATTAAATAAATCAACTAGAATTTCTCATTTTCTTACTCGGGTTTAACAACCTTGTCCAATGGGTTCCTTGATTCAAGCCAATTCGGTGTCACCCTGAATTTTTGGCTGTAAGCAATCTCTCCTAGATTTGTTAAAAGGCTCCTGATTGATCTATTTCTCTCTTTTTCTCTCTTGCTTTCATCAAAAATGTCGACTAGTACTAATAATAGAAATTCTTCATGGGCCATACCGAAAGCGGTCTCTCATTTCATGTCCATCAAGGCAAAACATCAAAGCACAAACCCTAGAGTCGATGGTGGAGAAGTGCTAGGAGCGACAGGAGCAGATGGAACACCGACACCAACTCAACATTCTACAGCTTCTCCTTTGCTTGAAACTCATTTTCCTCATTCTGATCACTACTCAGACAGACTCAAAGTATTTGTTGGTACCTGGAACATGTATGGCAGATTACTGCCTATTGATCTTTCCACATTTTTGACGAAAAATGAGATTTTGCAAAACACAACGCCAAAGAATTTCAGTCTAGATGGCTCTGCTACACATCCATACCACTTGCTAGTGATAGGAACTCAAGAATGTGAAAGAGATATATCTGAATCTCTCTTTTATCCTTCAAAAGAGGTTTGGGAAAAGAGACTCTCGGATTACCTCGGCTCTCATTACAGATTAGTAAAGACCGAAACGTTGGCTGCATTGCACGTTGCTGTATTTGTTTGGATGCCTGTTTCCTACCTGGTAAAAGATGTCCAGTCTGAATCTATAAAGACAGGTTGGGCTAATATGGTTGGGTGAGTATGTAAAGTGGATGATTTGGCAAGCATGCTATTAACACTTTTGCCTCTGTACGCAGAAATAAGGGTGCTGTAGCCATCTCTATTTTGTTTGGTTCGAGATCCTTGTTATTTATAAATTGTCATCTTCGAGGTATAAAAATATAGAAAGAGGGCATGTATGTACATGTTGGCATATTCACATCTCTCATCTAGCTCATCAGACCAAATTAACCGAGAGAAATGCAAACATACAAAGAATACTGTACGAGCTAAAAATGCCAAGCTTCAAAACTGGGAAAAACAAAAAGAAGCCTTGTACGTAATGGCATTTGATACGCACCAACAAAGTCTAACTGCCATATGGTAGATCCCTCTGTTATAGATCAGTTCGACCACGTTTTCTTATTCGGTGATACAAATTACCGCATTAACGCCGAGAGGCCCTTTGTATTTGAAGCTTTAAAACAAGGAGATTACAATGTACGTAATGAATATATGGGAAAAAAACAAGTATTAAATAGCATCATATACACAGACTTTATTAGAATATGATCAACTCTCTGTAGAGAGAAGAACAGAAGGCTCACCCTTGGCTTTCTTCCAGGAACACCCTATCCAATTTCCTCCTACATACAAACTAGACACAGTCATCGCTGGCGCATCAGCTGTTGTTGCTGCTGCTGCTGCTATCACTGTAGACGACTCCAACATTTCATACCCACTATCTCGCTCATCGACTCGGCCTTCTCACATCAACCCTAATAATACCACCACTGTCTCGCTTACTACGTCTTCGACATCCTCATTACCTACGCCCACCAGTGCCAAACTAGTCGCCACAAAAGAATCAATAAAAGCAACTATACAAAATACCAAAAGTAAATCTGTTACTAGCATAAAGCGTCGACTGAGCAGCAAAAAGAAAATTGTCTCTCCAGCATCTACTGACAATATACCCCAAGAAAATACCAATTATGAAGACGACGATGATGATAGCAGCCACAAGAATGGCATCTCCATGTGTGATTCCAAAATAGCCCTCATAGATTTACCTAATACCATATTGTGTTACGACAGTTCAGAGAAACAACGCGTGCCTAGTTGGACCGATCGAATTCTTTGGTGCGATCGTGCTTCCACGCATCATATTGCTCCACCTTCTTTGCCCACCAACACCAAGAACAACAAGAAAAAGAAGAGAAATTCCAACAATACCAAATCTTTGTTATCCTCATTAGGTCTTCGAAACAGAAGACAGTTCACCCGAGACACAGTTTGCTATTCGTATGACGCCGTTTTGCATGATTCTTTACTGGGTGTCAGTGACCATATGCCAGTGATTGCAGTCTTTGGCATTTGGTTTGATGAATGGACACCTGCACATCAAAAGATTATCCGATTGCCCTTGAAAAAGAACCCTACTATACAAAGCACGCATACTGTTAAACATAAAAAGTCAAAAACAAAGAAGAGAATATGGTGGCAACGCCTTTTTGGTTAATCTGCACTCTTGTATCACAAAATTAATAAATTAGAAAATCTTCTTCACTATATACACTGGAAAACTATGTTTTTACAAGCCAATCACATTCTTTCAAATATAATTCTAAAGAATTGAGAGCTGGACAAAGGTCAGCCCCTTCACCAAGAACGTAAAAATGCATCTAATTCAACACTTGATAGCATTGATTTATAGGGGGGTTTTACTGTAGCGAAGTAAAGGCACAAAGCCATGGTAATCAGGCATCTAATCCAACACTTGGTACCATTGATCTATATGAGGGCTTGATCGAAGCGAAGCGAAGATGCAAAATCATAATACTCAAGCAGCAAATTTGGTTTTTCATTTCCATTATTATCAAGCTTACCAACAACATAACGTATCAAAATTTGCATAAATTAGTGTTACCAGAATTACTATACCTCCTATTTGAATTAGAAGTTGCACAGGATACAGAACTGCCTTTCCAGAAGACTTCAGCTATCAAAGATATGATTCATACCGTATAAGTAAAAGCCATAAAGCAAGATTTCAACCAAATTTACCAGATTTCAGGCCTTCATATCTTGACATGTAGACCTTTCTGAGCCACTGGAATGACACCCAACAATTGTACTTGAGTAGTAGTAACTTCCTGACACCTTTGCTCAACATTTTGGAGACCTAAAAAACATGGCCAAAAATCGACCAAAAAGCATGAGGGATACCTCATGGTTTTCATCGAAAATCAAACGATCGCATTTTTGACCTTGAAAATGAAGGCTTTTGCTATGATATGTATAGGATCAAAATGTTTCTTTGGACCCAAAGCAACCTCTGAAACCACTTTTATGAGGTTTTCATATGCAAAATATGGCTATTTTCGCTAAAAACCTCATTTCATATTTTACCAAATTGCACAATAATTTCAGTCAAAACACTTATTTCAGTCAACACCATTAGAAGCGCCTTGAAAAGTACTTCAAGAATGTATTAAGAAGCGTAGGGTGATTATCACAATTTATATAGTCAAATATCACAGAATAGATTAAAGAAGTCGAAAAAGACAAAATCTGTCCAATCTTGAACAGAAAATAATAAACTGAGTTTGAATCAATTCTGGTGGTGGCGGCTTGCTGCTGGCTGACCCAAATACCTTTCTGATAATGACAGTGATGATGCCAATGATGATTGCGAAGCTGATCAAATGAGGAACATGGAATTGAAAGGACAATTGCTTAGGCAAGATAATTCTTTCCTCTTGGGATCTTCTCCTTATAAAGGTATCCTTTGCAATGACAATATCTCGAAAAAGTCGCTGTAGATCTTACCCAAGTCCTGTATTTACACATGGCCAGCTTTATGCCGCCATATCAAGAGTAACATCAGCGAATGGATACCTCCCCCTCCTGACTCTCATGTAGCCTTTTTTTTTTACTATTAATTGACTGTTTAAAATCTACTTCATATTCCAGGCTTTTATTATCTCTGATTTGAAATATCTTCGGCGAGAGCCCGCAAGACGACGCCATCATCGAACGTAGCGAGATTGATCGGTTAGTTCTTTTAATACAATGAAGAATGAGGCTTTGAAAAAGCATCATTGTGATCATGTAAAAGGTCAACTATATGAAGTAATTTATACAAAATCGCTATAATTTATTCGTTTAACTGGATGTGCATTTTCTCCTACGAGTTTTGTTAATTTACACTGTGGTTTTATTGTTTGAAAGAGATTTCCTTAGCTCAAACCCACTGAGCGACGCAGGCTGTGAGTATTCATAGGGAAATATTTTGATGCAAATATGAAGCGTTCTAAAGGCTTTTGGGCAAAAGGGTTGGAGCAATGGCTATGGCTAAAGTTATAGTTTGGACTTGAAAAATATGGCATAGATCGGCCACTTGCTTCTTTACACAAATGCCTCGAAAAAGACCCACACTTCATTTTTAGTAAGACAGTATGGCCGTATAGCAGTTAAAACTGTTGCATGTAGTAGCTTAAATTTTCATATATGGTAGCCGCAGCCCCAGCCTTAGCCCTTTCGATCATTTTACTGTATTAGAAAATTTGACTCCTTTACAATCTTCTCCACGCCTAGAGCGATGAATATGAGCAAAAATCATACTAGCATTGCCTCTATCAACTCAAAAATATGCAAAACGCAACGAAATTAAGATGCAAATTGGTTGTAAAAACACGAATCTTGCTGTACAAAACGCATTTTGATTATCGTACAGTTCGTAATTACATTCAATACTCACAACAAGGTCAGTTTAATTTACTAATTTTTAATAGATCACTGAAATTACAACTAGCATGATATAAATGTCATTTGCTCTATCAATTTTGAGACGTTTTACATATGATACACTTGGATGTTGCTATATGAAATCGATTACAGCATTAAAGGAACATCTATACTTGAATAGCTAACACTCAATGAACTTTTAAGAGCACAAAAAATACATCTTTGCCTTGTATTGTGGTTACATGCAGATGTTTATTGTATTTGTTACACTATTTTCCCTTCCTAAGGGGGTCGTTCTTAGATAATATGTATAAAAAGAGGTTCTTGTGCATTATGGGTGAGTGGGATGTATACATTTTAGCAGATATTAAAAAATATAGAATTAAATAGAATAATGAAATAAAGATGTACATATGAAACTAAATTATAGTGGCACTCTTTGGAATCGACCTCTGTTTTCAAGATTCGTTCTTTTTTTTGTCGATGCCACTACAAATGTTTGTTTATGTTTATCAGATGTACATTCTTGGTGATATGGCCCTAACTGGAAACCATTAGTAGTAGTGGCAGCCACCAATGTAGAAGAAGAAGAGCTAAATTACCGTAAATAAAGACACACAGTTAGTGCTTGTTTTCTATGGTTATACTGATAATCCTTTTACCTTTCAATTAAATCATAAGCTAGTTTAGTATTTGTGAATAAACCTCCCAATCCTTCAGCAGGGTACGAAGAAAACGACATGATAAAGACCACATAGCACAAAATCATCTATTCAGTTTTTGAGCAAGCGGCATTCATCAAGCATATTACTCTGATTCATTTACCATAGACAAAAGATCGCCACCCAATTTCTCCACTGTAACATTTGGTTGTTGTTTTCCGTCCAACCTCTTTTTCAATTCCATGTTCTCCTTTTCCAATTGCGAAACCTTATCCAATAAATTCTGATTCACACTTGTGAGATCCGCGCATTGCTCTTCCAAAGCAGATAAGTGCTCTCGCTTTCTTTTACGAGAAAGTAAAGCTGCAGCTCTGTTCTTGATTAGCCTTTCTTGACGTTTTGCAATGGTAGCTGCCTTTTGTAAATCTGCGTTGGAATTGACAACAGGAGCAGGTGATTTAGTAGCAGCAGTGCCTTGCTTGAGAATCTGGGACACTTCTGCCTCAATCAAGGTTTCCTTTTTTGTAATGACGGATTCTTGCTTTGTAACAGTGTTTTGATGTAATGCGTGGCTGTTGTTGGTGCTGGCTGCAGGCAAGATAATAGGCAGATGCTTCATGGGAGCAGGCGCAATGGCAGCCGGTGTAGTCAAAGATTGTGTAGGTGGCGGTGTCAGGCTTCCACGACTAGTGGAAGACGCCACACTATGACATGAAACACGCTTCTTTCGTCCACGCTTCTTTCTAGGCTGCTCATTTTCGGAAGAAGACGACGAGTAGGAGCTTAAAGACCTTGGAGATGCAGGCTGTTGTTGTAAGAGGTGATTGCTGTGCTGCGCAGGGTAATATTGAGGTGCGTACATCATACTCGTGGTGAGTGCGTTGCCTATATACGCACCAATTGATTGCTGTTGCATCTGATCGTGGCTAGGAATGACATATTGCAAGTTACCGTTCAAGACATTGGGATGAAAACAAGAGGCAATTGCTTGCTGCTGACGGAACAAATCGTCATTAGGAGTTGAGGGAGTTGACTGCCAGTACTCTTCTACATTGCCATCAAAGTCCAAAGAAGTCATTGAAGCTGAGTATTTCGTCTCTTGGATCGAGTTGACTTTGGGAGTTGCTGGAGTCGGTGAAGCTACTGAAGGCGCCATGTAATCAGAGTTTAGATACGACATGAGTAAATCCTCTTGATCTTCTTGGAGAGCAGGATCAGTTTTGATGTATTGATGTGACATAATTTGAGAGCTAGGCGAGGAATTGAGAAAAAGAACAACAACGAAAAGAAACAAGAAAGATAGAAGCTATATAAGATCATTTTAATGCATTCATATGAAGTTAATGTGAACAAATATGGAAGGCGATGCTTCTGGCCTGCTTGACTAAATAGGATGCCCTGACAACTGAAACGAAGAAACACCCTGTGTGTCTCATAAATTGCAGGCGGAGCTAGGCAGATGATGCAGACGATAGTAGCATACCTATCATACCTTTCTGCACTAGTCAAACATTCATCACCATTTATTAGGCCGTAAACAAACAAAGCAATATAAAGCTAAATTATATTATATTAGTGTTTGTGTGTGTGTGCCTATAAACAAATACTACAGGGAGACTCATTTCTTGCGAGGGCAAGAGATCTGCTGAATGCAATGTCTCATATAGATACAGGATCTGCCAGTGGACCAGCGACTAGATGCATCTACCAGTTCCAGTGCCAAACACATATTCATGTGATTGACAAGTTAGTGCGTAACCTGCTCAACAAACTATTTTTGTATATACACTCGACCCAATTTCAACGATTTAATTTAAAATAAACAAAAAAGTCTATTTGGCTATCAGTTTCATACTTCAATCTGAAGCAGCATCTGCTTGTAAGTTTGGCACCATTCCAAGACAAGCTTCAACGTGCCCTTCAATTCGGTTAAAGTAGGCGATTGTGTCTGTGTCTTGACTTCTTCCAAGATCATGACAGGTTTATCCTTATAGGTTCTATATTTCAGTGTCAAAAAAACCATGTGTTTTGCTTTACTATGATTAGATGCACTTACACAAACGAGTGTTGGTTGTCAGATCCCGCTTTGGCACCGTGCTTTAAAAAATTGTAATCAAGAGCATAAATGTTGCATGCAATGTACACATCTTGGATGCAGAATTCAATCACCAACTCTTGCTTCAATGGCGGGCTAAAGAACTGGGTGTGCCTTAATAGAGTATGGCTTGTTATCTAGATTCAATCTTACCTTGGGATGGCACACTTTATAAGGGAATAAGAGTGCTTCATTCGGGTAATCAAACGCATGGAGTGCACGGTCCACGTATTGATACATGTCCTCCAAAAGCTAGCAACGTCATGTTGGTCAAATCAAATCAGCATACTGCACACACATATACCTCAATAGTCGCTTGTTTATATGATGGTATCGTAAACGCTTCTACTCGATTCATAGCCAACGATATATAGTTGATAGCTTGCTGTGCCTGTAAAGCCATTAATTTCAATTCAATCTCAAGCATCAACGACTATCTTTACCTGCTCCAGAAAGTAAGGCACCGAACTGGTGATGGTCGCTTTGATCGGTGAGTCTTGATGGTAGTTTGCCAGTTTGATCTGAAGCTCCTAAATGATGAGATTTAACGTTAATATCAATTCTCGTTTCATTATATCATGTCAACGGGTACCGCTTTTGTAATATGTGAGCCAGTCAATGTGATAAATCCTTTAATCGTTTCATGTCTATCCCTCATATTAGCACCAGATATATGCGCTTTGTGTCTGTTTCATAATTCTCACTGTGTTAGTGGTAGTGAATCTGTCTTGGCTGATTTGCATCTATTAGCAAGCGTTATAACAAAAAATGCATATTGGCATAGTTACTTTGGCTTGTCAGGATGTTTTGACTTTTCTAGTTTATTATATTCACGCTTAGACATGGTAATATTATCTACTATCAGATATTACCTCGAGCTGCACTTTGATCTTTTTCAACATCGGTGGAATTATATCATGAAGTAGCCATTCTCTTTGTTTGACCTACACAATAGACATTACATACTCGTGCACATACATTTGGCTTTTACATATTACTGCTGTCTCATTTTCTTCGATCTTGTGCATATGTAAAATAGTAGGATCTCGGAAAATCCACGAAAAAAAAGAGTTGAAATTACACTGTGTTGCGCATGAGATGCTTGATGCAACAATGCAACTAACGCGCACGTCACAAAACTTGGCAGTAGCGGATGGATGCCACCTAATAGAAGTAAGCTACTCCATGGTACAGGCAAATCTATAAAACAGAGCCAAAATTTACAGTTTTTAAGCCTCGGTATCTTGAGACTTAGGCCATTCTGAATAACTGGAATGACGCCAAACGATTGTACTCGAGTAGCAGTAACTTCCTGACACCTTTGCTTAACTTTTTGAAGACCCAAAAATACATGGCTAAAAATCGCCTCAAAACCATCAGGTACCCTTCATGGTTTTCATTAAAAATCAAACGATCGCAATTTTCACCTTGAAAATGAAAGCTTTTACTAAGGCATATATTGAATCAAAATGTTTCTCTCAATCAAAAGCAACTCCTGCAACCACTTTTATGGGACCTTTATAAGATTTCAACTTTTTAGCCAGAAATTTGTTTTCGTATTTTCATAAATTGCTCGATAAGTTCAGTCAAAGCATTTATCTTACTTGACACCATTGGAAGCGCCTTGAAAAGTACTCCAAGAACGTATTAGGAAGTACCAACTAATTATCACAACTTATATAGTCAAATCTCACAGAATAGATTAAAGAAGTCGAAGAAAAACAAAAGCTGGCCAATCTTGAGCAGAAAAAACGTCTCTGAGTCTTAATGTATTTTGTCGCTACTGGTTGACTAAATTGCCTTTCTGATGATGACAATGATGAATGAAATGCTGATTAAATGAAGATCATGAATTTGAATGAATTACCGCTTAGATCGAACGCTTTCTTTTGCTTTGCATGGAATGTGATACATGACAACACCGGTCGACCTGGTCCATTACTAAAATATACGAGTGTTTATGCTTCGGTGGGAACCAACCTGCTTTCAGATGGCTCACGCTACCACGGGCCATTAGCTTATATTGCAAAGTTATTAATAACTAAAATGTCAGAAGAAACTCGATTGCTGATTAATATAAAATCTCTAATCATATATGAACCATGACTGACAAACGCATTTTCCATAGTAGGATTGTAAAAGTATGTATGGACTATAAATTCATTATGTTATTATGGTGTAATCGCAACTTCCTGTTCATGATTTGCAGTATTTCAACAATAGCCGATCAATCTCGCTACGCTCGATGACGGCGTCGCCCTGTGGGCTCTCACCGAAAATATTTTGTTAGGAGGGGGAGGTATCCAATCGCTGATGTTGCTCTTGATATGGCGGCATAAACCTGGTCATCTGTAAATACAGGACTTGTGTAAGATGTACAGCAACCTTTTTAAGATATTGTTATTGCAAAAGACATTTTTATGAGATAAAAATCTCCAGAAGAAGTATTTGAGCTAATCAATTGTCCTTTCATTTCTATGATTGCTGTTTAATCAGCATCGAAATCATTATTGGCATCACCAGAAAGGTGCTTGGGTCAGCCAGCAGCAGCGCCGCCTGCTAAAATTTATTGAAACTCAGGTTTTTTTTTTTTTTTTTTTTTTGCTCACGATTGGACAGATTTCGTCTTTTTTCGACTTCTTTAATCTATTCTAAGAAATTCGACTATATAAATCGTAATGATCACCTTATGCTTCCTAATACATCCTTGGAGTACTTTTCAAGACGCTTCCAATGGTGCCAAGTAAAATAGATGTTTTGAATAAACTTACTGAGCAATTCCAGAAAATAAGGAATAAGTTTTTAGGCCAAAATGTCAAAATTTTGTATACAAAGACCTCATAAAAGTGGTTTCCGAGGTTACTTTGGATCGAGAGAAACATTTTGATTTGATATATGCCTTAATAAAAGCTTTCATTTTCAAGGTGAAAAATGCGATCGTTTGATTTTTAATGAAAACCATGAGGGGTACCTCATGGTTTTGAGGCGATTTTTAGCCATGTATTTTTGGGTCTTCAAAAAGTTAAGCAAAGGTGTCAGGAAGTTACTGCTACTCAAGTACAATTGTTGGATGTCATTCCAGTGGCTCAGAAAGGTCTACATGTCAAGATATGAAGGCTGGAAAACTATCCATGCTGGCTGTGGTTTGCTTTATTAGAGCTTTTATTTACACGGCATGAATCACATCTTTGGTAACTATAATTTACTGGAAAGGTAGTTCCATAGCCTGTGTAATTTTTAATTCGAATAAGAGGAAAATTGATTTTGGTAAAGCTGACTCATGCAAATTTTGATGCGTTATGTTGTTGGTAAGTTTATTAACAATGGAAATGAAAAAACGAATTTGCTGCTTGAATACTATGGTTATGCACCTTCGTTTCGCTACGGTAAACCCTTAAAGATTAATATTACCAAATGTTGGGTTACATGCTTAGTTGCCATGGTTTTGCACCTTCACTTGGCTACGGTAAAACCGCCTCATAGGTCAATGTTACCAAATGTTGAATTAGATGCGTTATGCTCTTGATGGATAGACTTAATACCTCCTCCAAACACCCTCCCCAATGCCGACTTGGCTGGTGGTTTATTCACCTTGTTGTAGGGTACTCAATTCTTTAAATTTTTGAAAGGATAAAATTTGTTTGTCTACTTTGTTTGAATGCTTTACAGGATATATATTAGATGGCATGTAGGCAGTACACAGTTTATTGATTCGTTTAAAAGAAACTATTGCCATTGGCTGAAAGGCTATTCAGGTATGTGATGAGGATATCTTTAAAACTTGTATCAGAGTATTCATTAAGAATGATGGCTGCAATCTCGTTGACAGTAGGTAGATTCTGAGTACGTCTAGTTTAACCAATAATTGGTTCCAATCTCATTTGAGGAGGGTTGAGTCGATGATCTAATGTGTTCTTTATTACTTTGTACAAGATATGCTTATGAAAAAATGAGCTCTATTAATCCCATCCGCCAACGTCTAAACCAGTGCCAGTGCTGCTATCTTCCTTCTTTTTGCTCTCACTTTCCAGAGCAGCAACAATATCAGTTGTCTTTTTGTTGGCAGTCTTTATCTTCTTTGACTTGTCTACAACGCCCACCACACCAGTCTGAGCCTTTGTAGCAGGTTGAGCAATGGCAGGTACAGCAGTCTTTGTGACAGGAACAGGTGCTTCCACGGCAGTGACTTTTTCGACAGTAAGCTTCTCAGCGACAGTAGCATGAGTCTTTTTAGCAACGGTATCTTTCTTGGCCAGCGTCTTCTTTGTAGCAGGAGCAGCCCTAACAACTTTGACCTTCTTCTCAGCAGCAGGCTTATCTTCTGGCTTGAGGAAGAACAGATCTTTGCCATCGTCTGTCTTCTTCTTCTTCTTCAATGCTGGCTCATCCTCAACATCAGCCTTGGGTGATGAACGTTTGGATTTGATCTTGGCAATTTCAGTACCCTTCACCTTGCGCTTCTTCTTGTCATCCACAGCAGATGCTTCAGTCATCTTCACATCTCCGTCTTCATCAACAATGCCATGAGCCTTTTTCTCCTTCTTTTCCTTTTGAAGTTTCATACGTTTCATACGTTGTTTCTTTTCGACAATGTTGAGATTTTCTCTTTGCTTCTTCTTGCGCTCCAAAAATTTGGGATCAAATCGTTCTCCATCCAGAATACGGAGTGAAGGTACGAGATCAAGAATCTAATGAAGCCTTGAATTAGTACACGGCTGTAGTCGACATGTATTCACATTCACCTTTTCGAGATAATCTTTCTTGTTTGCAAGAGGGTTTCCCTTCAGATTCAAACTATGAAGTTTCAACAAAGAGCCTAGAGGCGCAATATCCTTCCAATCCTTGATGCCATTATTACCGAAATCCATAATCTCGATAGCGTTACATTTTCTTAAAGTTTCGGGTATCTCTGTAATCAGGTTATCGTTCAGACGAATCTCCTTTAGCAAAAGGTTGTGTGATAGATCAGGCACTTGGGTGAGTTGGTTGTGTGCAGCTGAAAGTTTGGTCAATTCTGCAAGGCTGGATAAGCGAGGAACAGTATCGATCTTGTTGTGAGAGATGACTAGATTTGCATGTCAACTTGTCGTGCAGTGCCAACGTACAGAACATGTTACTTACCCAAGGTATTCAATTGCAATAACGGCTCGATATTCTCAATTTCTAGTAAGTTGTTATTGTTCAGTATAAGAGCCTTCAATTGCTTAAGACGAGTGATATGGGGACTCATGTGAACTAATTCGTTATGGCTGACATTCAAGACTACAACAAACAGCAATCAGTGATGAGGATTCATAGATTAATGAGGCATTCCTTACCATTGAGCTTTTGGAAATGCTGAAATCCAGTAAAATCCTTAAACTTGTTGTTTGAGAGATTAAGAAGGATCATTTCATCGAGGTTCTTTAAACCTGCAATCGACTTTTCATCAGCGAGATCATTATGCGCAAGAATAAGCTTGCGAAGTTGCTTGCAAGCAGAGATGTCTTCCACTTGATCTATCTCTCTTTTGGAGACATTGACTTCCTTTAGAGCCTCGAGTGGCTTGTCTTGATAGATTTCAGATATCACCTCAGTTGTCAGCTTCATTTTCAATGTAAAAGGTATAAAGATTTTTGTTTGTAGCCAGATTTTTTCTTCTTGTCCATTGTTCTGGATGTCCCAAAGAGGTCACAAATGCAGTCCTTGCTACATGATGTTTGCTTGATAGAAAGGAGCAGTTTTTATATGCAATGATAGTAAGGCATATGGTTTGTACACTTGTGAATTGCTGGTAGAAGTCCATTTGCTCATATCATGGGAGAAGCCTGCTTCTAAATGGTTTGTTTGGGCTTATGTAGCTGAAAGAGATCCAAGATGCCATATCGGATCTTGAATCAGAATGATTAAAACCGATTTTTTCGCGAGGCCTCTTCCTTCCACTTTTTGATATCTACATCAACTATTTACTCTTTTTCATATAAAAACTATCATGTCAGAAGAATCAGACCCCTTTGAATGCCGCTTGACATTTTTAGCTCTGCTAAAGAAAGTGAGTGCCTCACAACAATCTATACACAAGGTTGCAATCTATGCCATGCGACACAAAAATCTATGTGAGGATCTCTACAACTGCCTCATTGAACAACTTGAACAGGTAAGATATGTTTTCTTTTTTTTTTTTTTTTTATCGGCTAGTTCGATCCAGCATCTTGGATTTTACGTATGCAATTTGGGAGGGAAACAGGAGAGGAGGGAATGCAGAGGCTCATGAGCAGGGATACATGAATTGTATAATGGCATTTGCTCAGTGATGACGAGAGAGATGAAGGATGGATGTGATTAGTACGTCCGAAAGTTGTTAGCCATATACCGTTCTGTGTCCTCTGTCATGACTCTCTTGCATAGGGTTTGGTCGAATAGATCTCCCTGTAAAGTTAGATAATGCAAAAGAAATTCATAAACACATACAAATCATTAAATCGTCTTTTATTTGTTTGCATCTGTTTTTCCCTAATTTTTTCTAAATGATGAATAGGCGTCGCTAAACGCTAGGTTAAATATAATATATGTACTGGATGCCATATTCTCGGCGAGCCAAAAGTCAAGATACTCGGGCTATATTGATTTGACACGGCCTGATCTGCCAAGAATTGTACATGCCGTCGTCGCTAACGGACCAAAGGGGGTATTGAATGTGCCAAATACACAAATGGTAAGCTTGTTACTTATGATTGAGGTCAATGACTAACGTACTGTGTTTCGGTTCACACTATAGATTATAAATAATTGGAAACGCAAGCAGTATTTCGAAGCAAGTGTATTGGAAGAAGCCGAAAAGCCCTTGATAGAATGCGCTGCAAGGTAAATGTTCCATAGCATTGCAATTGAGGCGAGAAATTATGCTAAACTAGAACAGCTCAAACCACACACAAGCAATTACTACCGACTCGTTTTCCAAGGAAGACATTCTTCGCAGAATGGAGGAGGACAGAGAAAGGGTAAATGGTGCAAAATATTACAATTGCATAAGATGTACTGAATGCCAGCTATAGCATAAACGATTAAGAGAGGAAATCTGGATACGACCTGCAGAAGAGAGTCAAGACGCAGAATTTGAAGAGTTTTGGAATACAACAGAAACACTAGACCCCGAGTCCGATTATGAGGTGATGATGGTTCAAAACATGCTACGTCTTCCCAACTATGCTTGGAATGCAATGCTTGATCAAAGATCAGCCATGTCACAGTAAAATCAGAATATCAATAAAATGACACAATCTTGCACATTTGTATTCTGGAAGGATTGGCCGTTCATTCGATGTTATGGAGTTGATGGGTTTCAAGTAATACAAATGGTTGAGAGCATTCAACTCCAGTTCCGAATAATCAAGTTGAGCTGATTTTGCTGCTTACAATACAAAGGGTTTTGACGACCTGACATTGGCAACATGTGGTGATACATGGAGAAATGCCTCTCTTTTTGTTACATAACAATTTGCGTGAGAATACAAGAATTAAAAACCTCAGTGACCAGGTGAAGTTTTATGTGCTACCTGTCTCTGTAGCACACAAAAACATCAGATCATCAAAACGAAAGAGACAGCCTATATCAAGGGGATCAGATACTTTTAGCGATAAACAAGCACCTTGCAATTTGGGAATCAGAAGGCAAGGGATTTTTTTTTTTAGCTTTTCATCTGCCCAACCAATAGCTCCCAGTGTATTTACGTTTACGAAATGTCATTGAAGAAACGATAACCCGAGATAATTTGGTTTGTCCTCGAATCTCCAAATCAGAAATTTGTTGATTGGGTATTTCAAAAGTGAAGAGAAGAATTGTTCCAAAATTGGCGAAATTAATATTGAATTATTTAGCCGTGGAATAGACAATACGAAATGCAAACAAAATCGTATATAAACTTAGTTGAGCTATTTATCTTCATAATGGACATAAGCGCTAGAATTGCAATGTGTTCCTGTTTGATAGAAATCACAAAGTTACACCATTTGAATAATAATTGTGGAAAGTGAGTTAATTTATAGATGACCCTTTTCCGGATACTCATTCGGAAAGCTGAGGCCATTTTCATAAGGTTTCGAAATCTCCCAATATAAAAGGGGAGGCCTTGTTTCCAATGCTCCCTGTACATTTTTTCTCGTTTCTTGATTTAATGGCAATCTTGTCAGCCTTAGCACATCCTATACGCATACAATTTATATAATACAACCAAATACACAATGTTGAATGTTCACCCAATGCAGCTAACACATGCACCTGAATTTAGAATCCATTTGGATGACAATCAAGTAATCTTACATGGTACAGCAGAAGAATCAGCCGGTGTCGTCTTACGAGGCAGCATTATCTTGACCTGCCATGAGCAAACCAAAGTCAAATCAGTCACCTTGAAGTTTATGGGCACCACAAATGTTAACTGGAGTGAAGGTAAGGAGGGACAATCACACTTTCTTCAGGGCAGCGTGCTGATTTAATCAGGCCAAGGCTCCCACCAAAAGCATTATAGAGCAGAACGCAAGATTCTTGAAAAAGAATGGACATTTCTGGAGCTGAAAAAGAAAGCACATCATCTTTGCCAAGGTCAATACAAATGGGATTTCGAATTACCATTGCCGGGAAACTTACCAGAAACCGTGAATCACAAAATGGGTCAAGTGCAATACCGTCTGAAAGCTTATTGCGATCGACCTACATTTTCCATGAATTATGTCGATAAACGAGTTGTCAAAGTAACCAGACTCATGTTACCGTCCTGTCTTGAATTAAGCCAATCTGTCATCATCTCAAATGTCTGGGCAGACAAGGTCGCCTATGACATCAGTATCCCTAGCAAGGTTTACTGCTCAAACAAATCGATCCCCATCTCGTTTGATCTCATGCCAATTGCACGTCATCTTAAAATCAAGTCGGTTGCATGCTCACTAAAAGAGTATGTTACTTGCTCTACTCTGGATCACCATAAAACCGAGGGAAGAATTATCAACCACCTCCGCGATGATCGCCTGTCGTTGGATTCAACTACCGGTCGCTGGACAAGGACTGAGCTATTGCATGTGCCTTCTGATACGAACCTTGTCAATTATGACATGTGTGGCGAGTTGATACAAGTAAAACATAAGCTCAAGTTCACGGTTGCATTACAAAACTCGGATGGTCATATTTCCGGTAAATATCCACGCATACGTTAACCGATTCACGTAAAAGATACTTATTCTGAAACCTATTAGAGCTGCGAGCTGCTATTCCAGTAGTAATAGCCCCGATGCTCCCCGAGGACGATGACAACACCTTGCCTGCTTATGAAGATGCTTGGTGGTCTATCCCTTATGATGCAGAAACCATGGCTCATATGATTGCAATGGGTGAAGTATCTCCATCTGCTGCTGCTGCTGCTCCTCCTCCCGCTCCTCCTGCTACGTCCGTTCCTCCTGCTTTGATTTTGACATCTGATTCACACTCCACTTTATCTTCCTTGTCATCCACTTCTGTTAATAGCAACAGTTTCAGTGAAGAGGACCTCTTGACACCCGAACCCTTGCCATGGATGGGTATTGATATTTCTCGAGTTCCATCATACACAACTGCCTTACGTACAGGTGCTCCGTGTACATTATCACCCTCACTTCCCAACTATGAATCGATCACCATCGCTTGATTAGCAATGTATATACCTTTGCTCCTTTATATATTATCTGTAAATAATTCCTTCTACTCTTATCATTATAATTAGCAATTGCTCTTGTACTATAGATTTCGAAATAAACATATTCATACATGTCTCTTTTCGGCTGTCTATACCAGCATTGTTAAAGCAGCTACGATTGGGCTAGAGTATTTTGCCAGCAAAAGCCTATATGAATGACCTGTAACTATAGATCTGGCTCTTTTACGATGATTTATATCTGTATCTATGAGAATAACACATTTTTGGACAGACAGCATAGCAGTATCACCTCTTGCTACCCAAATGTAAGCAAAACATCACTTAAATTGGCTGCATTTTAATCGTGTTTTCTCATGTTATAAGCCTTTTCAGACCGCCAGAATAGCCCCAAACAGCTACTTTCGACTAGCATTTACTCACAGATACCTTAGCTCCAGTTTTTTGGGACCGAAAAATCATCGTCAAATTTCGCCTCAAAACCATGAGGGGGTACCTCATGGTTTTCATCGAAAATCAAACGATCGCGTTTTTGGTCACCAAAGCGACGACTTTTACTAAGGTATGTATTAATTCAAGATGGTTCTATCGCTTCGACGCAACCCTTGAAATAGCATTTGTGAGGTTTTGTTATGCAAAATCTCAACATTTCCACCAAAAGCCTCATTTCGTATTTTTATGCATTGCTCAATAAGTTTGAATAAAACACGCTTCAATATTGGTACCATCAGATGTGCCTTGAACAGTTCTCCAAGAAAGCTTAATGAACTATGAGCTGGTCATCACTATTTGTATAATCGAATTTTGCAAAAAAGATCAAAGAAGTCGAAATTGGATCAGAAGTTCCTATTTCGAGCAAAAAAAAAAAAAAAGTCGGATATTTAATATTTTTCACTGGCAAACTTTGTGCCTTAATCTGAGGAATGTTCATGCTGCTACTAGATGTTCGTAAGAAGAAGGGCCATAGCGAATCGGAAAAGTATTATAGCTTAGACCAACTATAATCTATTTCAATTATATGTTTTTGTGTCTGCAAAATTTAATTACTGCTAATTTCTCATGCAAATGCGACTCTTGTATTGAGATGCCACATAGCCACCATTAACCTGTGCTGTCAGAGCTTCTTAGTAATTTCATAACATATTGCACATCAGATGAACTAACTAAAGAATAGACTAGAGCTTTCACTAACCATTAGCAAGGATAGACGTATAGTAACAGCCTATAAAGTCTGAACTGTCAACACATCATCTTGTACATATACGCAACGGGATTTCTGCAATGTGTGCTTTTGGCTATAATAAAGTTTTCCAACGCCTCACCTATTAATCTGTTGTTGCTTGTAATTAAAAGATTGTATTTGTATGGGATAATCAATTTTGTGCTCAAAGTGGATCACACCACACTGAAAGTTGGGTTGGTCCAAAAGAAGGAAGCGGCCTACTACTAGGAGGTGCTCAAATTTTGCGCTTCTTTCGCTTAACTCTCTGACAACCAATATAGCAGCTGAAAATCCCTTATTATATGCGTTTTGGTGATGAATAATGATTATTTATTATTAGGATTACGGAATAAGGCAGTAGAGGAGTACAAATTAAGGCTATATACATATACAAGGAAAAAGAGAGAGATAGAATGGCATTTATGCAGTCAGATCTGCTGGAATGTTGCGTGAGTAAGAGTTTGCTGGATCAGGATTACAATACACATGATACGGGATTTTGAGATCCACAAAATCAGCTCTGGCACGATGTGTCCATTCAATGCGATCTGCTGGTGTGAATGCATATTTACCGAGCATCGCCCAATAATAAGCTTTCAGGAACCTGATTTCTTGAATGAAACGCATTTCGAGCACACCATGCTGTAATACCATGAACCCTTCCACCGTTCTTCCAGTACTGATATAAGGTAATGCTCGTGCGAGATACAAACACGGTTGAGTAAACTCCCAGAATTTCACCTGCTGAAAGGCATGATTGATTCTGGATACACCGAGAATAAATCGATCATAGTTCTTGGAGTTTCCCGATGATACAAAATCAACTTGCTCATCTTCAATTAAACAATACATGCCCATGGTAGCAAAGATCAGACCAAAAATTGGGAATATGTTGGGTGTCACGGTCAAAAGAGGCAAAATAGCCACCAGACTTCGCGTGTGTCTGCGAGCGTACTCGTAATTGCGGGTTCTAGCATAGTAACAAAGCAAGGTACCATGAATAGCTATGCGGTTGTAGTCCGCAGATTGCTTCAAATGGGTTTCCAAAAGCGCTACAAAGGGCTCACATTCACGAAGTCGATCCATAATGAGTGCATTACCGACATTGTATACACCTAGCCAGATCTCTGCTTCGAAATCACAATTGCTATGCGCAGTATTCGCCATTTGTTTCAGTAACACCAAATCCTCGGGCGAGTTGTCCAGAGTGCCTTCAAAGATACGCATGGTGATCACAAGGCCCACCGACCGATAAAACGCTTGACAGTCAGTTACCACGCCCAGCGTTTTGACTGCATCAATGGATTGGTATAGTAAGTCTCTTGCGTTCTTGAACTTGCCAGCAGCAAAACACAGATGGGAGCAAATAGTCAGCGTATCAGCATCGTTCTTCTCATCCATGTATCGAAGCGCTTTAGTAATATAAAAGATACTTTGCTCCTTTTCATCATTGAGCCAGCTCAACAACGAATTTCTTGCTAGAAACAAAGTATAATTGGGACCCACTTCATTCAAGCGTTCACATGCGTTGAGACCCACCAGACACGTATACACAAATGCACGACCCTTTCCTGTATAAAAGTAAATGTTGGAGAGTTGTGCCATAATTTCCACTACTCTTTTTCCAATCTCTTTCTTGATGTCCTTCTTGTCAAATTTGCGGAACACGGGTAACTTGCGATGTCTGTATTGCGCTAGTCGGTTCATCCAAAACTTAAATAAAAACTCGGGTTCGCTTTGAGGCCACGGTTCTCCCAAACAATCCAGTGCATGATACAAGAAACGTTCACCTTCCTTGAGCTTTGTGCGCATCGTAAAGCACATACCTAGACGTCGGTAGATGTCACTCTGATGGATGCGGCCAAACTGAGCAGCTAAATTAGGGTTTCCGTCCAGGATTTTGACGATTCTTTCCAAGTTGCCAGTAGCTTCAGGCAACAGGTAGGATTTGATGTTGAGATCTGCTAAAGCTTCCAAGTAGTACAGCTGTTTATCGAGCCAATCTGTTTGCAAGTAATGGCGAGTAACCTTTGAAAGCAGGTCTGTGTAGTTTTCCCGGGTTAATTGACTCTCATAGTATTTGGCCAACAGACGATGCAACAAAATGCGGGTTCCATACGAGACCATATCGTAGATGCTTTGAGGAATCGTGATGTGAGCAAATGTGTAGTAGTCGCCCTGAGCACCTAGGATACTGTCCTCTGCCTTTTGTATAAAGTGATAAGAATCGTACTTTTCAATCTTCTCTCGCGCTTCATCAGGGTTGGCGCGCTTGAAATCCGTATTGTTTTCCTTGAGCACAGACTGCACTTCTTCAATGGTGAAATACTGATCCAGACAACTCGCGACTGTCAAGAACTCTTGAAAGCTTCCTTCTAATCGGTCAAACTGCATTTTGATGATACGCTTATAGTCGAAATTGCCGAGCAAGTCTTCCAGATCAAACCGATTGCTGCTGGGCACCAAGACACTCTCGACTACTGTGACATGATTGAAATCTTTGAGGATCAAAGCCATGTTTCTACAATGAGCATCAGTCATCTGTTACGCCATCTTTGCTTGCATCAACTTACTTGACATAGAGCGGATTCCCTGCAGTACGCTTTTGAATGACTCTGACAATTTCAGGACTCACACTAGTAACACCGGCAGTTTGGAAGGTCTGTAAGATAATCTCACCAATCTCTGTAGCTCCCAAGCCGTTCAAATCAATCTCTTCAGAGTACCCAGTCTCTCGAAAATCGTTGATGAAAGTGACATTGTAGTCTTTCACAGGACGCGTTGCCAATACCAGTAAAACGCGCTGACAATGTTCATGAATGTGCTGCAGTAAACGGATGGAAGCAGAGTCAGCCCCTTAAAAACAGCGTGAGTGCACTGTGCATTGCGGTAGACGCTCGTTCACTTACATTGTACATCGTCTGATATAAACACAAGGCCGACATGTTCAGACACATGACGAATCATACGCGTAATAACACCTGTGAGCAAGATATCTCTACCACGTCCATCCAAGCGCTGGGTATATCTGTTGTCTGGTAAATCTGCCAGTGCCGCGAAAATCACTTTGAACAATGGTAGTAGCCCGTCCTCTTCACCGCAGATATGAAGGCAACGAGTGATAAGCTCTGTAATTTCATTTGAAGTTTCAGGGTGTTGTATTTCTGGTTCGGCGGTAGAGTTTCGTGAAATATTGGAGTGTGTTGACATTTGGTGCACTGTGTCGGCAAGTTGGTTGTTATTGCTACTGTTTTCCTTGGTGGTTGTGGGTGACGGTAGCACCGATGATGTGGATGATGAGACAGATGCTTCACCGTTTGAGTAAGAGTGGGCAGAATCGATATGAACGCCTCCTGAGCCACTCAAGTAGGGGACTTTTCGTTTGGTGTTTTGTGGTACCTGATCCGAATCAATGATATCAAACAAGGCCAATAAGATGTTTTTGACGAGATAGTATTTGGAGCTTTTTTCAACTAGATAATTTTGGCATGAGCATTCATCACCTCTGCTTGTGTTTCTTTTTTTTTTTTTTTTTTACCTTCAGTGGACGATGACCAGCAGCAATTTGTACTAGGAGATGTGATTTTTTTACTCAGAGCATGACAAAAGAAACTTTTACCAACACCTGAGGGGCCAGAGATAATCAATAGGTGGTGATTTGGTGCTTCTCCCCATTCATCTACAAATTCGGTAGCAGCACCCATTTCCGATCTATAGCCGATAAAGTCAGAGTTCTTTTCTTGGCTTTGTGTCGAGATGCGCTTGGTTTTGACAGCTGCAAATCGCAAAATACCGTAGATAGGCACAGGTTTCACTTTGCCCTTGACAAACTTCTCTCCATAGTCCTCGAAATCACAAGCTCTTCCAATTTGCTGCTTTGTTTCAAAATCACAGACAATGTGTTTCTTGGAAAATGGGAATTTCAACATTCGCACGGCCAGGATGATGGTATCGCCGGCAATCGCTGGATCTCTTCTATAGGGGTTGCCTTGAGGTAAGACAGAGTTGAAAATAATACCGGTTGAGAGAGAGATGGCGAAATCATCCAGGAATTCCATAAAACTTTCTCGCAAATCAATGGCTGCTTTGGCTGCAAACACTGCTTCTCTTTCATGGGATAATGGTGGAAGACCAAATACAGCCAACAGAGTAGCACCTGTAAACTCGAACGGTGAACAGGCGTTCATAGAGTGTCACATATTAGAGTAGCCTACCTTTGTCGTCCACTGCAAACTGCTGTAAAATACCTATATCTCTATTTCAGTGCCCCCATTACTATATCCACTTCTTTTCGATCACATTACCTTCATACTTCACCAGTGTTTGGATGGTTGTAAATGTCGCTTTTTGCGCAATCTTCACACCTTCTGATGTCGCTACATTCAGTTTACCCAAACTGATAAACATAATGGTTGCATCTCTGAATTGAGCAGGAAAATTATCGTCAGGACTATGCTGAAGTCTATACAAAGCGCTGCGGTTGATATATTTGAGGTAGTTGGGGTTGGGATCAGATGACAATTCCAAATAAGATGTATCTCGAGTACGGGGTATCAATGGCTCAATGTTGAGAGTGGCTGCACGGATCATTAATCCAGGTCTGTCTGCTAAATAGTTGGCGTACGGTGCTCCACTTTTGCCTGTATGCTGATGGCGTCCGCTCTTCTTTGGTGCGGTCGCATCTGAGCTCTTGACCACGAAGAACTGATCTCTTTTCTCGTACGATAAGCCCATGGTTTGGTTCTGGAAGAGCTTGAAAGCCTCTGGGGTGATACTCATTTCGCCAGCTTTTGCAGCTGATAAAGCGTCTTCTAGAGATTCCACAGCTGGTCCACAAATTGCGTATTCCAATCTTCCAGTGTACTCCAGAGTCGAATCCAGATTATTTTCAGTGCCATTGGGGCTCACATAGGAGAATCGCTTTTGCTTTTTAGTCAACTCGTTTGGTGTCGCTTTCATATCACCCAGTATAACATTTGTAATTTCTCCACAAGACAATGCTATGTGTAACTCTAAATCAATGGCATCAGGTTCTCCCTTGGTCGTTTCACTTGTATCACTTTGTCTTCGGGTTGCATAAACTCTGTTTTGTCTACTTTTCCCAAACAATGCTGGTATACAATTCCAAAAATTGAACGCTGTTGAATACTCCTCTGCGTAGCTATGATCCAGGTCTAAAACGGACGACATGTGGAGGCTGTCTCGAGAAACAGAGCCTTCGCTGTCAGTGGAATGACCACTGGCATCAAACAAGAAAAACCGCTGATCTTTATCCTGGATCCCTCGTCGATCAATTTCCCCTGTGAGTGATGATCTGTGCTTTGATCTCTCCTCTGCTGTCAAATAGACTCGATAATGTGATTGTCTGGCGAGTAATTGGAGTCCACATTCTACTGCTCGGCGCACGAGTAAGTTCTTTTGGCGGGCTGATTTCTCTTTGCTTGAATCGTCGATGTATACATCATCCTCATCCTCAAAGTTATTCGGCTGGAAGCTAACGAGCACAGCATCGCCGAGAAACTACAATCTATTTAGCCCATACCGCTCATGAAGCCTCAACCTCAACCTACCTTGACTACATCACCACCGAAATGCTCAATAATCTCAATGCACTATTTTTGGGTATTAGCTTAATTGACTAATTATTGTTTATTGCATGATATCATACCTCTCCCATATAGGCACCAATTTCGAGGGCAATAGCCTCGGCACCAGAATCTCCTTTCTCGGCAGCGATGGTGGTTAACTATGAATAGATGGTGTGAGACGTGGACATAGTATATGATTGCTATTGTATGACATCTTACAGCACTGAAACCTAGAACCCAAAAAAATCGTTTAATCATCATGGCAAAGCGAATGTGGTATACATGTTGACGTACCAACGATATCAACCATAAGAACGACACCAAATTGAGATTGACTATAGGGAATCTTTAGTTGCTCTTGATGAGCATGTAAAGATCTTACATACTACACAACATCCAGAGTTGAGTTTAAAGCATTGAACCGACATATGGGGGACAGCTTACTTTAGCAATGTATGGAGCAATGTTTAGCATTGAAAGCTTGCCTCAAAGAGTGTGAAATCTCGAATGGTTTTCGACTGATTTAGAGGATGTTGTCAGTGCTTTTTTTTTTATATATATATATATTTATAGAGACAGAGTTTTTTTTTAAGAAATAAAAAAAAAAAAAAAATACAGAAGAAAAAGAGTAAGATGTTTTAGGTTGAGCTCAGCTTTATTCCAGAATTACCAGAGGGTAAAAAAAAAAAAAAAAGATGGTGCCACTAAACATATGTTGTAAACAGTAGTAATTAAGTCTGAGGTGACGTGCAAATGATGCCCTTTGTGAAGCTCATCAGGATTTAAACCAACATGATGATTTATCCTCTCTTTACTGCTATACATCTATATCCAGCAAACATGTCAATATCCCCTTTAATTCCAGCTGGCGAATGCATTGTCATACAGACCAACAACACCATGTGTTGGAGCATCGAATCAGAGGCTGCCATGTTCACTGCAATCAATTATCATCATCAGGACAGAAAGCCATAGCTAGCACTGTAAGCCACATTCGTATGAACATGAGAGCATCTCATCAAGATATGGATTAAAAGTAGTAGCCAGATCATGTATGCCTTAAGGAGATGATGCTGTGATTTATGATCGCTTTTGTTGGCACTTGACAATAGAGGCTTGCCTCTTGATTGCTCCAACAGCCCCTGGAGCACCTCTTTCGTCCAAGCAGCATGAATGTAGTAGGCATTTTTTTTTTTGCATGGCGGTTCTATTCGATAGCGCCTTGCTTCTTGCTAATCGATGTATTGCAAGTGAAATGTCGACGGCAATGTCTGAGTAGGACAGCAAGTAAATGCTTTGATTGATGTATAAAAGATGTAAATTTAATTGACATGATAATACATAATACAATGACGTTCGTAGCATTGACGTCTACTACTATACAGTTGCTGGGCTGTTTAGTCATCACTCTCGCGAATAACCAAACGCTTACCAATCTTGCGACTCGTTCTTGTAGGGGACATACCACTATCATTTGTGGTAGTAGGTGAACCAGCACCATCAGACAAAGTATGGTCACTTGCAGCAGGCTCGTAGCCATTATCAAAGTAGCTGTAGCCATCATTTTGTAATTGATATGCCTGTTCCTCAAGAGCAAGAATACGTTGACGTTGGGAGACACCACCAGGGTATTTTTCCTTCAACAGCATAGTCTTGATGTCGTTCAAGAACTTTTTCAATGTCTGCAAGAAGCGTTCTGTTTGACGATGCTTGGAAGAGGCAACAAACTAGGAAGCAAATGTATCAGCTATTTTTTGTATGCTACACAGTGAATCTAATGGCACTTACCGAGATGCGGTCTTCTTTGATGATATAGCCAATACCAAACCCATTGGAAACAACGGGACCAAAGCCAAACAAGCGAAGAGCAGGATTACCACAGTTGGATGTGCTGATGACGGTATTGTTCAATGTCTTCCAGCCGCCATCAGTAAAGATCTGAGGCTTCTTTTCATTCTTGTAAAGTCTGTCCCAGACACACTCTAAAGCATAAAGATGGCGGTCTTGGCCTTGGCCCTTGGAGCATTCACGGGTGATGTTGGTATGTGTCTTTAATGCCTGACGCAGCGAGTTCAATTTCTCATAGGCAGAAGCAGTGCTGGAGTAAAAGTTTTGAACAAACTTGGTGGACTCAGCGGTGACAGAGCGAATGGCTTCAGTGCGGCCATGCAAGAACGTTTTCGTCATGGCAGGTTCGTAAGTGCACTCGGATTTACCATAGAGGCCATAGTAGGCAGCTTGAATAGCCATCTAATTATTCAAATTAGCGTACATGATTTCAACCACTTGTAAGGTGCAACCATACCTGAACAAATGCATCGGGACTCATTTTCATATCAGTAATAAAGTTTTTGCCGTAGTCGTTAAACTCGAGTACCTTGACTTCATTTTGCAAGATGAGATCGCTCAGTCTTGTCTCAGCAAAGCGAACACCCAGCTCGACCTCCTCTGTCATGTTCCATTCAATCTTGCGAGGATTGTGGTCGAAATAACCCGTAGCGCTTCCAGTGGAGCCAGCTCTATCACGAGGTGCAGCAGCGTTGGTATTATGACTCTCTCTTCGTTGACGATAATTGTGGAAAATGGATTGCGTTTGACTATTAATAGTCTTTGCGAAACGCAAGATGGTATCAGTGTATATATCAGAAACGTAACGCAAAACCGTATGGCCATCTACGCCTATTGGATTGTTACACGGTGAGTATGTGATTGGATTACCCCACATCTTGTTTTTCTTCTTGATTACCTGTGTGTTCGAAATTTATACCCGCACTACCGTTTTGACAAACAATGATCTAATAAAGATGGGATTTCGTAAGCAATACCGTCGCACAAAAATGTGGGGAAATTACAAGAAAAAAAAAAGCATTCGATTTATATTTACCTGGAGTTTATCATACCATCGATTAGTGCAGGTACCCACTTGCAATCCCTGATCTAAATTGTAAGTGCCACACAGCATGTTGTTACTCAATTCTTCAGATGATGTAGGCTGAACGTGATCAAGACACACAATGAACAAGGCGCCGTCAACCACCTTGAGTGATTCACGATTGACGGGGTCACTCTTGAGTTGGGTTCTCAGTTTGGCCCAATTACGACGGTTCTCGGTAGTCAGGATGCCAACTGCATTTTTGGCAATGTCAGCAATAGGCGTCTGTGCAGAATCACGCAAAATGGCTCTCAAATTAGCAGCAATCTCCTTCTCTGTCAAGACAAAATCACCAGATTCATCAAACACTTCAAAGTGATAGAACTGAGAGTGAGACATGACGACAATGTGGCGACCGTTGATCTCGTTGTTGGGAGCAATGTAGCAGCCGTTTTCAGTAGGCACGCGGGCAGTAGCAAACAGACGACTGAATTGCGACATACAGAGAGGAATGCCACGGAATACATCTGGCTCCAAATGTCTTGTCTTGAGAGCATGCACAAAGGTCAAGGTAGAGTAGATGAGAGAGGAGGCGCGGATCACTTGGTCGTTACGGAGAGGCGTTGGGTCGTCTTCAAGCAAGAAGAAGGGGTTGAGGTTAAGGACCACCGGGTCGGTGTAGTGGAGATAAGAGTCGTACCAGAACTCTTCAATGTAGGATGATTTGTCCGTAGCATAGGTCTTTAGCTTTTCTTGCAACAAAGGACCCTCTTTCTTCATGAATTCTTGGACGGATTGTATAGTGGCTTGATGCTCTTCAGGAGACTGCAAAGATGAGGGGCATGAGTATGTGAATACAGCACTTGTTTCTTACCGAGATTATGTACCTGTAAGGGCTTGACTGCAGCCAAGTATCTCCTGGCAGTATCCTCGAGCTCGGGAATAGGTAACTTGGGTAATTGATTTTGGTACTGGAAGGTTTGGCCATCAGTGGGTTCATCAGTAAAGCGAATTGTCATTTTGAAGAGAGAGAGAGAGAGAGAGAGAGAAAAGAGAGAGAAAAATTTAAAAGTGTCAAATTGCGGTAGATGTATCTCAAAGGATCCCTTTTATAGAGATGGGCAAATGGACATGTATATTTCATATGGAAATAAAAGAAGGTTTGCTTATCGTCTTTTGCTCTATAAAAAGTGTGGGGAAAAAAAAAGTTTATTCAGTGATTGGTGCAACAAATCGATATACGTTGGTATCTCTCTTTACAAATCCCAGTTTCATGTAGAGTCTATTGGCTGCTTCTCGTTCAGGTCGGCTGGTGAGATCAATGGTTTTGGCTTGCAACTTTTTCGCACGCTGGATGGCTTCATTTATTAATGCCTGCGCTATACCTTTACCCCGGTGATCCGAATCCACAACCACGTCTTCGATATGCACCCGAGTGCCAGTAACACAATACAAATATGCCACCGTCGTTGTCCCTACAATGGTACCCTTCTCATCTACAGCCACAAGGACGTGATTCTGGCTGGATGAAACCGCCAGCCTGGTGGATTGCTCTGTTACAGAACTCGAAAGTTGCTTTAGCACATGCAACAGCTGGTTCAGCCTGTCATTGGTCATGGTGTTCCTGGTAATCTGTTCAATGTGAACCATTTTTTGGTAAGAAATGGAGGATAAAGAAAAGAGAAAAATAATATTTGCATCATCATTGAAAGCGTTGCGTTGTACGATGTTGTTTAGTTTATTTGAAAGCCAGTATGTCGCCGTATATTGAACGGAATCAACATGCACAACTGCTTGATTCCGTGCTATCTGAAGTATTCAAATCTACTTTTTGCACTACACAGTTGGGTCAGTCAAATGAAAGGCCACGGACACATATACAAACACATCTTACTTTGCTCTTTGCCTCCGCCAGTATCAGAATCCATTCCTGGTAATGCCTGTGCTATTCTTCTAAACAGTGCCTTGACATTATGACCAGCTTTTGCGCTAGTTTCGATAAACATTATATTGCACTCAGTTGCTCTCTTTTCGCCTTCCTCTAAAGTAACCTCTCTGCTCAGAAAAGCAGTGAATACACAGCGTCCTCCACAGATCAGGGCCCTTGGCTTACCTTTTATCGTTCAAATCCGTCTTGTTACCAACAAGCACAATAATGACTTCTGATCCGCGTTCTGCACGCACATCCTCAATCCATTTCGAAGTATTTTGAAACGAAGTTCGGCCTTGTTTTGTTATTTTCACATACCAACTAGCCAGTATATCCCTTTTTACTTACTGGTAATGTCATAAACAACCACTGCGACCGATGAATCTCTGATGTAACTTGGAATCAAACTTCGGAATCGTTCCTATAGACTCGAATAAATCAATCTTCTTATTCGATGCATCCGTTTCCTTTGTATGTTGTGTACCTGGCCAGCGGTGTCCCCTGAGACATGGTCAAGAAAAAGCGCACATCAATATGCTGACAACAAACAAATGTAGAGAGCCACTTACATAATTGCAAACGAACAGTTCTATCTTCTAAATACATGGTTTTGGATAAAAAGTCGATACCAATAGTGGCCTGTACGTGTCTGGATGAGTATCACATCTTGTGTCTCCAGTAGCCTGCTGTACCTGATATGTATTGTCAAATGTATCGTACATGAATCGAGTAATAAGCGAAGTTTTACCAACTTGACAGGAGAGAGAGAGAGAGAGAGAGAGAGAGAGAGAGAGAGAGAGAGAGAGAGAAATTAGTCTGTGATATAATACTGATCGAGTGCTTTGTACTTACCACTTTGCTCTCCCAAAAATACGAGTTTGAACTTTCTCAGAGGGTTGCTAAACTCTTGGCTTGTCATTATTCAATACAAGTGCAATGTAGAGAGAGGTTAAAATGTAAAGAGCTGCAAACAAAGGAAAGGAGGGAGAAAAGCAGATAAAACAGTGGAGTTTGTATTGGGATATGAGCAGCTCGTATTATTATCATCATCATCGCTGTGTATTTCTTATGCATCATTTGGGATAACATGACATGTCTTGTATCCGCCAATCGCACTCAAACACAGGGATCTTTTAGCCAAGCATTGCGGAACAAAAGCAAGTTCTATTAGCACAAGAGTCTAACTGTATGGTTGAACTGACCAGGTATGTGTTTCTGTATTGAATCACTTTAGATTTCGTTTGGGAAGCAACCAGAAAAACCTTCAAGACGGGATACTTGTACGACCATGTCTTTAGGCAACACAATCAGATTAAGCAACCGCGACATGATGTACTGGAAAAAAAAAAAGTTTATTCAATGTATAATAAAAGTATATTTAAGCATCTGTCAACTGAGCTTGCGAAAGTCTTGCTTCCAAGCTACGTAGAGCCTCTTCTTTGTTCATCAGTTCAGCTCTTTTTTCTTGAATTTCGCGCTGAACTTTCAGCTCAATCTCACGGAGCTAGATTTTCATTAATTCCAAATCAACCACACATCATCTTGACAAATATTTTACCTTTTCTTCTTCTTTTCTCAAATGTTCTTCCTTCAAACGAACGCTTTGACCTGCCATATCATCTGCATCCAAGGAAGCATCACTACAGGGACGTATTAGTACGATCTTCTCATACATCAAGGGAAGGGGGGGTGGTGGGGCGAAGGGACTCTCGGAAGGGGGGGGGGAAAGAGAGAGGGAAAGGGATGGCATTCATGTGCAACTTACTCCTGATCTCCGCCGTTGACTGTACGACTAAGCTTCTCAGTACGGTAGTTCTCGTAGAGAATATCATGAGTGATCTCCTTGAGATCCTGTAGGTGCGAGCTATCAAGCAATGTTAGACATTGAGCCAGTGCTGGTAGATTTAGCTTACCTCAGAAGAGCAGATCGCAAACGTGCGAAATCAGAGTGTTGGGGATTGTCCACTGTCAATACATGTTTGATGAGATGGAGTGCCTCACGTTGAGCATAGATGGCTAGTTACCTTCAACAGCCCCCCAAGGATATTGTCTTCCGCGAACAGAACGACCATTTACAGTGATTTCCTCGTCACTTCCAATGATAGAGAAGGGTAAAAGAGCCTGTTGAACAATAGGATAGTGAGTAGGACACACAGACACGCCCACAGAGCAACTTACTCTCAACTCGCTGTTCTCCTCGATGGTGTCCTCATCATCTTCTTCGACGTCATATGGGAAATTGTAGATACGAATACTGTAGTGTTCAATATCTTCCATAATCTAACATGTAAATGCCATTAGTCACTGTGTAAGTAGCTCCTGGAGACAAAGAAAGGCTTACTCTTCTTTTGAAATCCTTCAGCTCTTGTGGCGTGAGGGAATCAGCACGACCAACGACAGGAATGACGTTGACACGAGGGCTCAAACGACGCATGAGTTCAATATCGATTTCACGGAGACTTTTTTTTTTTTTTTTTTTTTGAGGAATTTGGATCAGTACATTGACGAATTATCAAGACAAGGCAAGAGATACTTTACGCATGGCCAGTGGGTGAAATAAAGTATAGCAGAGCATGGACACGGTTATCACGGAAACGAGGGTTACGCTTGATTCTGGATTCTTCAGCCAAAATGTCGTCGTACTGTCTTTCCAGATAGCCAACGATCTCTTGAAAACTATAGCGATGTGGGTGAGATGAATAGATTTAAAAATAGGCACGGTGTTCATACCATTTCTCATTATCAATGTTATCGCCAAACCCAGGTGTGTCAACAATGGTTAAGGAGATTCTGTTATATACATAAACAAATAAAGAAATCAAGGGATTGTATCAATCGAGTGAGTATTGAGCCTCTCAATAAGTTGTCTACTAACATAAAAAGCAAGGGAGATGCTGCTGCAAAGTAGGATTCCCCTTGATTTATTTTAGAAATATCAGCCCAATTCCCAATACTTTACCTAACGCCATCTTCATCCAATTCTAGCATGGAGGGAAAGAGTATGAGTATGGATGTGAATCAATGGCTGAAATGACTTACCAACAGAGACCGGCTTGATAGTGATGCCTTCTTCATTGTGTGCCTCCTCTGGGTTATCGCAGATCTTTTTCGACAAGACGCTGGAGTCACAGAGTGTATTCACAAAGGTAGTGCGGCCAGTACCAGAGGCGCCTAAACTGTAAGTCAGTGCCATGTTCATGCCTCCATAGACTACACCTCCAATTGACTTGCCTACAACCATCAATGTGAATTGAAATCCTTTCTTTACGTTCTTTCTACGTCCTCCAAGTCTCTAAATGCAATTTAGACATGTTAACTCAATGCCAGTGAGATCAAGCAGCTCAACATACGTGTGCCATTTCTTATATAGGTATTAGTGGATATACTTTTGGTCGCTGGTATTAGATGCTGAAAAAAAGAGAAAAGATTCTAATAACAAGTTCAAGAAAGAATTGAATCAAGAGGAAAAAAAGAGGAGGAGGATTCAAAGCAGGGTAAGAGAAAAGAACGGACTTGATGAAAAAGGAGATAAAACAATCAGAATAAAGGGGGACCAGCTACTAAGGGATAGGTCGTCTTGAAAATAGACGATGCATACAGGTAGTTTCCAGTTTCTAAATGTGTGTTATTTAGATGTTTGGATAAGCTTGAAAAAGATGTACAGCCATTTACATCCAAGAAGTTGCTATTCAGCAAGTCGTTGCTTTGATTATAAACCCTAAAATTCATCACGAAAACGCAGCATTTATGCTCATTCATTAGGGCAGCGAAAAAAAAAAAAAAAAAAAAAAAAGGAGCATTCTTGAAAGATTGCTTGATTTAGACAAACCAAAAAATGGCATTGTTTATTGGGCATCGGCTGTAGTGGTAGTAGTATTGTTTGTATGTGTTTTCAAAATATTTACACTAGAGTCATCGGCTTGACCTGTGGATAAACCCTCTTGCACCAGCGTCTCTGCCTTTTCAATGTCATTGCTGTTCAAAATGCACTGTAAATAGACATTAAAGTCATCCACTGTAGGCTGAATAGCTTTCCTCTTGTATTTCAATGACTCCCAGATAGCATCGGCTCGACTGACATATCCATTCCGTAAGCATGTTTGCAATACTGTTGATACTGAATCGCGATCCACTACATTAGACGACTCCGCCACTTCCCAAATCTCCAATACAGACGCTGGATCCCCTACCACATCGTATGCTCGCATCAATTGGTTAAACACTCGCACATCAGGGTCGAGATAGAGGTCCATGCGAATTAACTTGTGTAGTTTTTCCAGCACATGGCCATCCTTTTGATCTGCACATGCTTTCAGTAAATTGGCGTACATGTCAGGTGTAGGCTGAATTTCTAAATGTCGCATGTCGTTAAAGAGTGCTAATGCTGTCAATAATGCAGGCTGTGAATCGCCATCAATATCAGGGTAAAGGGCCGAATCGACATCTTCTACTGAATACTCGTATATCGGCTCCACGTTGTTCTCGAACTGTGTGTGGTTTTGTTGGATTTTGTTGGGATCTGTCAGAGACTGCAACATGAATGCGTATGTGTCTGGCTTCAAGCGTAAATTCTTTGTGGGATCTTCGTCGTGATCACGAAGTTCGTAATAGATCTCCATAGCTTCTTCGTATTTACCGTCATTCATGTAAGCCAACATGAGCTGGCTGTAGGTGTCAATGTCAGCCTTGACATTGTGATTTCGAAAAATAACATCGTATAGCCTTTGTGCTTGTTCAGATCTGCCTTCCAATGCCAATGTTGTCAAGACGCCGTTGTAGGTACTCGCTGATGGTTGAGCATCTGCTTCAATCTGTTGCAGTAAGGGCACAATAGCCTCAGCTTCTTTGGTATCGGGAATCGTGATGTGCGATTGTAGATGGAGACATCTCGTTGCTGAAAGTCTGTGTACAGTGGGGCTCCTCATGGATGCTCCAAGGAGACTTCTATTGAGTAGGCGTTGTCTGGCCAACAGAGTAGGCTTGAGCTTATGTATAAACATTGTATATGTAGATGAAATGTCAAAAAGAAAGGTGTGTTTTGATTATACAAAACTTTTTACCCCGGATATATCAGCACACTGGCAGATTATCATTGCAACTCCGGACATCATCCACAGCAATATATGCCAAAACATGAGCTGCTCCAATACAGCCTTGATATTTGCGACAACATGTCATACACTTTGCATATATATGTAGTTTTATTTTGCTCTCAAATGGAGTGATTTACAAATGTGATATGATGGCTTGCATCAAAATATTAAAGAAAAAAAAAAGAGAGAATGAGTCTAGTTGTTTTCCTCGGGCTTCATGGCAGGGAACAAGAGAACCTCCTTGATGTTGTTGGAGTTGGTCAAGAACATGGCAAGACGATCGATACCCATACCCCAACCACCGGTGGGAGGAAGACCAAATTCGAGAGATTGACAGAAGTTTTCATCAATCAATTGAGCTTCATCATCACCAGCAGCCTTTTGGTTAGCTTGCTCAGCAAAACGATCACGTTGATCAAAGGGATCGTTCAATTCGGTGTAGGCGTTACACACTTCCTTGGTGGCAACAAACATCTCGAAACGCTCACAGAGACCAGGGCGGCTACGGTGCTTCTTGGCCAAAGGAGACATCATTTGAGGATGACCGGTAATGAAGGTAGGAGAGACACAAGTGTTTTCGAGGTATTCACCAACGAGTTTGTCCAACATACGAGCGTTGGTGCGAGGCTCGGAACAGTCGATTTCGTGCTTGGCGAGGAGATCAGACAAGAACTTGTTGGTCTCGGCAGTGTGAAGTTGATCTCCAGGAGGGAACTTGCAGTCCAACTTTTCTTCCAAGGTCTCAATCATATCAATGCGCTTGAAGGGAGGGGTGAAATCAATGTCCATGGCGGGACCCTCAGGGCCTTGAGGGTGGTATTGGATTTGATACTTGCCAAAGAGCTTCATGACCATACCAGAAATGAGTTCTTCAGTCATATCCATCAAATCATACATATCGGCGTAAGCCATATAGAACTCACAAGTGGTGAATTCAGGGTTGTGAGTCATATCGATACCTTCGTTACGGAATTGACGGCCAATTTCATAGACACGATCAAGACCGCCAACAACCAACATCTTCAAGTATAACTCAGGAGCGACACGCATGAACATATCCAGCTTCAAGTCGTTGTGGTGAGTGATGAATGGCTTAGCAGTGGCACCACCAGCAATTGTGTTCATCATGGGTGTCTCGACTTCAAGGAAGTTACGTTGATCAAAGAAAGAACGAACATAGGTGATGATCTTGGAGCGAATAGCAAACTTGTCGCGGACAAAGTTGTTCATGATCAAATCGAGGTAACGTTGACGGAATCTAAGCTCCATATCCTTGAAACCGTAGTTGGCTTTGGGCAACATGCGAAGACAGGGAGACAAGAGAGTGACCTTCTTGGGGAAGATGGAGAGCTCACCACGCTTGGTCTTACCAGGAATACCAGTGACACCCACAATATCACCACGTCTCAGGAGATCGTGGATCTCAGCATAATCATCACCTTCGTTATCTTGGAGAGAAGCCATGACTTGAATCTTGACACCCTCACCGTGCAAATCATAGAATCTCAACTTGGCACCAGAAGCACGCTTGTTGTGAATACGACCAGCGACAGAGATGATTTGATCGTCGAGACGCTTATCGACTTCAAGGCTGCTGAACTTTTCAATGAAATCGGGAAGGCTCATATCAACATGGAACTTGTGGGGATAAGGCTCAGGGCTAGGGTTTTCACGGAGCTTGTTGATGGTCTTGGAACGCAACTCAAAGTATTGCTAGTCGCACATGAAAATCAACATGTCAATGTCAAAATTTCTCCAACTCAAACTTGCCCTCCTTTTTATGCCATCCACTATTAACTTACGTTGGGGTTCAATTCCTCCTCACCTTCTTCAGCGCTCTTGGACTTGACCTCCTTGGGAGGAGCAGCAGCAGCCTTAGCAGCCTTAGCAGCTTCCTTGGCGCGGACCTTCTCACGTCTCTTGAATTCACTGTACAGGGACCATCAAATCAGTCAATCAAGCATGGGATGGGAGTCCACCTTGTCTCTACTTACGACTTGGAGATCATTTCTCCAGTGACAGGGTCCTTTTGAAGGTTCTTTTGATCAACTTGTTCAGACATGTTTTTGCACAAATGAGTAGAGAAAGAAAGAAGAGCAAGTTTAAAAAATTTTGCAGTTGAATATAGTGTGGAAGAAAAAAATTTGATGACTGGGTTCCAACTATTGGTAACAAGCTTTCTTTTCAGGGAAACGAGATTATCAGTTGATCTTGTATAAATCACATTAGCTGATCAATCTCGCTACGCTCGATGTCTGCGTCACCCTGTGGGCTCTCACCAAAGACATTTTAAATTACATTTTGGTATATCAAGTAGATCTTACACAACCAATTATTAGTAAAAAAAAAGGTTATGTCAGAGTCAGGAGGTATATCCCTCAGCATCCTTTTTGCTTACACTGATATCAAACGAAGCCTATTATTGGGACAATGCGAAAGAAATTTCAGGTTTTATGCAGCATTTGTACATCACAATCGCCATTTCCTGAAGATGGAACTGTCATATCATTCACTGCTGCTGATGCTTTCAATAAGATGGCGACATAAAGCTGGCCGTAAGTAAATACAGGATTTGTGTAAGATCTATAGCGACTTTTCTGAGATGTTGTCATTGCAAAAGACACCTTCATGAGGCAAAGCTCACCGAAAAAAGTATTTGTGCTGAGCAATTGTCCTTTCAACTTTATGATCCCCATTTAAACAGCATCGCAATCATCATTGTCATCAACAGAAAGGCATTGGTCAGCAAGCAGCAAGCCGCCACCACCAAACTGATTCAAACTCAGTTTATTTTTTCTGTTCAAGATTGGACAGATTCTGTTTTTTTTCGACTTCTTTAATCTACTTTGAGACATTTGACTATATAAATTGTGATGATCATCCTACGCTTCCTAATACATTCTTGAAGTACTTTTCAAGACGCTTCCACTGGTGCCAAATAAAATAGATGTTTTGACTGAAATTATTGAGCAATTTGATAAAGTTTGAAATGAGCTTTTTAGCGAAAGTATCCATATTTTGCATAAGAAAACCTCATAAAAGTGGGTTCAGAGTGTTGTATCCAAAGATACAGTATTAACAAATTAAGATAGATTTCAAAAAGGAAGACTAAAAAGTAACCAGATACGAAAACTTAATAATTTATTAATTGATTTGAGCACATTCTATTTATACTAAATCGTTATCGCTGAATCAATCAATCTATCTCATTGTTTAACCTGAGTCAATACATCGAGCTCTGTATATCCAATACCAATCATTATGAAGGATCCTATTGTCAGTTCAGCTACGATGATACGATTCACAACCTATCATCGTCACTTGCAATCATGGACTTTCATAGCCAACCATATAGTTCACTTCTTGTTGCACCTTGCGTCCCAACATAGACAGTGAGTAACAATGTAAGTCATGATCCGACTACCACTGAGTTACTATTGAGCTCTCGTAGCTTCTACAGACTCAACACAGAGGCTGCTTTGGATCGAGAGAAACATTTTGATCCAATACAAACCATAGTAAAAGTCTTCATTTTCAAGGTGAAAAATGCGATCGTTTGATTTTCGATGAAAATCATGAAGGGTACCTCATGGTTTTTGGTCGATTTTTGACCATGTCTTTTTTTTTGGTCTCCAAAAAGTTGAGCAAAGGTGTCAGGAAGATACTACTACTCAAGTACAATTGTTTGGTGTCATTCTGGTGGCTCATAAAGGTCTATATGTCAAGATATGAAGGCTTGAAATCTGACACATTTGGTTGAATTCCTGCTTTATGGCTTTTACTTGCACGGCATGAATCACATCATTGGTAGCGGACGTCTTCTGGAAGGGCAGTTCTGCAGCCTGTGCAACTTCTAATTCGAACAGGAGGCATATTGGTTTTGGTAAGACTAATTCATGCAAATTTTAATGCGCTATATTGCTAGTAAGCTTGATAATAAAGGAAACGAGAAATCGAATTTGTTGCTTAGATACTATGGCTTTGCATATCCGCTTCGCTACAATCAAGCCCTCGTATAGATCAGTGCTATGAAATGCTGGATTGTATGCTTAGTTGCCATAGGTTTGCACCTTTGCTTCGCTGCGACCAAGCCCTCATATAGATCAATGCTATCAAGTGTTGGATTAGATGCGTTATGTTCTTCCCCAAAACCCCCTCCCCATCGCCGGCTTTGCCGGTGGGTTTATTCACCTTGTACGGCACACAATTCTTTAAAGTTTTGAAAGGATATGATTTGTTTGTCTACTTTTTTTTTGAATGTTTTAAATATATATATATATATTGGATTCAGTCATCCATGAAGCCCGCATCAGTTTATTGATCAGTTCTTTTTATGTTTAAACGATCTGGAGACTTCGTCCACCAAGTCCCACACGCACTCTTCTACCATATACTCGTTGTATCGCTCGCTAAGAGGCTTCCAGTCTTTCTGATCAATGGGTGGATATTGAAAATGGGGGCCAAAGTTGCAATTTACCACACCTCCTTTGAACACACTGACAGCGGGATAGTAGCCCAATGTGCCGTCATCTTCTACAGGCGGATCGTCAGTCCAATGTTGTGCCACACTATCGAAATCGTCCTTGATGGCATTGCCATTGTGATCTTTCTTGGATTGCTTTCTCTTCTTTTTGGCTCGCTTTGTCTGGATCGTCTCTGGTAGACGGCCGAAATCTTCATAGTCTATCAAATCAGTAAACATGACACCCTGATTCACGCCATTCTTGTACACAGTAATGAACGATCCATGCAGAATTTTGGGTTCATAATCATCCTCCTTTTCTTTTCTGTAGGGATCAGCGAGTGCCTCCATCTCTTTACTGGGCCTGTAATCTTTTTCTTCAAACCAGAACCGTTCTTTATAAGCAATGGGTATACGTCTTCTGAGAGCACTTTGGAATTTTGCTTTGTTTTTCGGTGGAATCGAGATGTAAAGTCCAATTACATCGCCTGATTGGAATGGCTCGCCGTACTTTTCAGGTCTTGAGCAGAACATCTTGTCGCCAGTTTTGTCGCGGTAGGCATAACCATAAGCATCGTATCCAACAGGAGCATTGAGACATGCTGTAAAAAATCAGACGTGTTGGTGCATGTATCCGTATGTCAGCCCTATATTACCCAATTTACCTTCTCTTCTGGCAAAGCCAATACGCACATGAGCTCCATCACTAGCAGGTCCTGCTGCATTTTGGATTCTTGCTTCCCAGAACCAGTTTCCTTCCTTCACACCTACATTTGCTCTGCACATACGGAACCCTTTGTCTGTGGTTACTGTCAATCCGTCCTTGGTGACAGACACATACGAGCTCTTATCTGGAATGCTGATGGTACATCCGCCTAAACTATTCTCTGCCTGTCTATAAGCGACCAAACGTAGAATGGATGGTTCACAAGGACTGTATTTGAAGCCGAATCGATTGAATGGATGATCCGTGTTGGCTGATCCGCCTTGAGGAAACACAGCAGGCACTGTATTGGGTGTTAATGGCGCTGGCGACGATGATCTAGGTGAGGGCGTAGTGGGCGTCATTGATCCATTCATTTCTGGTGATAGCTCTTTGCGTTTGTTGGAGAGTCGAGGTATCAATCCTCCTGGATGGGGCCGTATGTGCCATAGATTCGCATCTGCTAGACGAAAATCAGATGCTGCTGACCTCTCACTCTCGTCTCTTGCAACAAACACATCCTTTGACGAATATAAACAGCTCCCCAAAGTAGCCCACCTAATATGTTTGTTGGTCGACATGTTTTTATAGCATGGACTTGACATACCATGTTGGAGTTCTCGATCGCTCAGTGCATAGGCTGTCCCAATGCTTTTCGACAAAAGGAACGAGATCCTTCTTGTTGAAATAGTACTGCTCTGGTTGCCACTGCTCTATCACAGCCTCATTTTTGCTTTCTAGTAGTTCCTTGTTGTCTGATCCAATTTGGAGTAAGATGGCCTCCAACGTCAAATTGGCCAAAGCAGCTGTGCAAATGTCTTTCCAGCCAGCTATCGTTCTCTCGAATATCTCTACATTCAGTTCATTGCAGTTATGACACTCGAATTGATAGTTGGTCACAAAGAGTGTCGTTGGAGGATCTTTAATGGTAGTGCACTTTGTATGAAACCAATTTTTGCAACCTGGCTTTCGTTGTATCAGTGCTACGAATGTTTGATTTCAACATGGTACGCTTACCTCGACATTGAACGGCTCTATCAAGCAGACTTCTGTCCTTCTCGCAATAGCAATATGTGTGCAGTGAATTGGTTGTATGTGTCTCGTTCCATACAAGTTCACTCATGGTGAATGGTTTTTGTCAAAAAGCTAGCAAACACGAAACGAAAACCCGGTTCGGTCTATACTCGCTGTAAAACCGACTGCTTTTCATGTCGTATCACAACCCGTTTCAGTTACCAAAATCAGATGATTTACATTTTGCATGTACCACTCAAACATAGGTAGAGCAAATGGTCATATAAAACAAATCTTTATTTGTGACAAATTAAGGGACTTAGCTCTTGGTGACGACCTGGGGGGGGGGAGCCATAATATATAAGAGGAGGTATGCATCTTGGTCATAAACAAGGAGATGGTAGGTGTGTTCAACTATCAATTCGATGCAAAAAGAGCTTACCCCACAGTCTAATTGCATGAACCTTGATTTAAGGATAGACTTCATCTTCCAACAGCTTTCATGGGACCTTCGTCGCTGTCTTCTTGGTTGGCTTTCGCTTTATTAATGTACTTTTGTTTGTTGGTATCTCGGTGGCCTTCTTCTCTACTGATTTTCGTTTTGCTAGTATCAATGGATCATGTAATAAGTTGTACTGAAAGCTTGATTTGAAAAAAGCTTGTACAAAGGGGAAATAATCAAACTTTTGTCGCGTAGAATTTGCTTTGGCTCTCTCTCTTTCGGCTGTGAGTTGGTCGACTTGTCGGTTGAAGGGATTGATTTCCATCGCAAATGCGTCTATTTTTGCTTCTGCTGCTGTGTAGTTTTGACTGTACATGGAGATCCAAATGTCCTTCATCGTGTCATGGTATTGCGTATCTGCCTCGTTGATAATCTGGAAAAATGCCTTTTTGTACCGTGGTAATGTTGATTTGGCTAATCTCTTTCTAACTACTTCTTTTGATAACCGCAAGTATGAATTAAAGGCATTCTTTTGTTTTAATTTGGCATGGTAGTTATCTTTGGTGATTGCCATCAAGCTGACGTCTACCCTGTAAGCATGTTGAATTTTTTAGTAGGGCACCATTTGTCTATTATGATTATCAACTTACCGATCTTGCATTCGTTGCTGGATGATTGGTTTTACTCTAGTGATCCACTCCTCATGTGTACACCCTTGAAGTCTTAGTGGTTGATTTTTGAGTCCGTCAAGCTCCCAAACGAAGCCATTCTTGTATATGTAGCTAATATAATGGTAGTTTTCCGTATCGACAACATCGCAATTCGCATTGCCATGTCCAGTTGATACATCCATGGCGTCTTCAGCTATATGGTATGCATTACCGGCGTACGCATCATGAATTGAACGTATTTCTTGACAATAGCCTAAACACATTCCCCGATCCTATCAAGACAATCAGTATCATCCAGCTGATTTAAAGCAGTACAGCTTACAATGGAAGAGAAACCTTCAGTGAACCGTAAAAAGTTGTTGAGAATATGTCCTTTGTTGATGTTTGCATTGAGTAAGACCGCTAAAAGAGCCAAAGTAGCGCAGATATTTGTCACGACCTATTGTACAATTAATAAAATGGCTAGAGCATATCTTGACATTGACACTACTTGTGCTGTAAAGACAATGTCTTTTGCCAGGGGGTCGGCTTGTTCAAAGTTGGTTGGAAGTTCTTCTTCTACATAGCGAGAAATAAAGATCAAGCCATGAATGTCGCTATTTTTAAAGGGTTTAGTCCAACTCTATTAGCCATATCAAATACCAAACGTACGTATTGTCTTTGTCATCATCCAGTAAGTCGAGTGCAAATACCTCTTCTACTCGAACTTCTTCAATTCCATATTGCTGAATCATGTCCTCGAAGATGGCTGTATGTTTGTGTGTTCTATCTGGTTAGCTCTGAGATAATGGCCATGTGGCAATAATCTATATACCTGGGTCTGATGGAATCAAAGCCCACTTTTCCAAATGTGTGTTCATTGTGATTTATTATACAGCTTGCTTGACTGTTTGAATGGACAATGTGGTGATAGAGGGAGTGTATTGTCAAGAATAAAATAAAACAAAAAGGTTAGGCTGACTATTAATGTAATAAGGTTTTTATAAGCAACCTTCGAGGAAAAAAGGAAGTAACGCGTTTTTGTGTGTGCAGAAAAGATAGGATAAAATACAGGAGCACATTAAGAGAGATCACCTTGCTGCACACATTTACTATAACCTTTTAATAGTTTTGGGCTGTCTAATTAGCTTTCTGTAACCAGTTGGCGGTTGCAATGATCTTGATTAGCCGTCGGAAATTAAGTTTCGCAGCCGCTCTGGCTCGAAGCACAAAATATAATCATATTTTGCTGGTTTCCCATCAAATCTTCACAATGCAAAAAAGACAACACACTAAATAATACCTTATCCTGTAAGCAGCTAGCAGCAGCGCTAACCAACGCTAGTTTTATCTGTCTAGGTGTCTATTTGCTAAATTTCTTAATGCCATATTTGCAGTTGTACTTCCTTAGGGACTCAAACGAAGTATATCAACAACAGAAATACACGCGCTTTTTCTATTTTTCTTCATGTCGTTATAAACTAACAAAACTCTTGATCTAACTAGGCCATAGCGTCTAAAAGTTCATACCGTCTAAAATCTTTTGATCCGAAAAAGTCGGCACTCTCATGTTGAAACATGCGTCCCAAAGTAAAAGCGGCTTTCCATGCGCACAACATTGCTCAACGAGTGGCACGAAGATACTCGGACACTAAACAGCGCTCGTGATAGACTTAATTTATAACTGATATACCGTAATCCTTTACAAGGAATTTTAACAAGTACTTTAAATTTTCGAATCACGAAATTTGCCAAAATAGTAAAATTTTGACAGCTATCACGTGCTGTGCTGCAGGGACGACTCCACAAATTACAGATTGATCTACCAATCCGAAAAACCGGGTCATCGGAGTATGAACAACCCAGGCACTGTATTTCTTTTTTTGGGGTGAAAGTTGTTTTCTGGTCATTATTAATTTGAAGCTCGAAAATGCCTTTGATTTGGTGCAGGGCTGACAGGAGAGAGTTCTCTTCTTAAAAATGGATTTTGCTTCTATGAGCAAAGCTTGCTTGTAGCTCCTAAATATCCCAATACCATTGAAGTTGGAGTTAAGAAACGGTCATATTGAACATATATGTAATCTTTGGTGGTAGATTCCATAAGTATATATCTGTTGTGCCAGAAGGGCTACAACTGTCTATAAAGATTAAGGTATTCTTGATGGGTAGATATGTCTGTGTTGTGCAACAACATGGACAAGCTATGATAACTGAGGTGCATCTCAGCTATCTAAATACTAAGGTTCACCAGATGTGATAAGCGTTGTACAAGATAAATTGCTATTTTGGCAATCAGAACTTAGTATAAATAGAATAACTCTTGTTTTCATCAATAAATCTTTAGTTTTTGTTTCTGATCTTATTCAAATAAGTCTTTTGTTTTTATAATATCGAACATTTTTTATAAGCTACAAATAATAATCCTTATATTCTTTGTGCTTAACAATATCTTTTTTCTTCTAAATTTATAGAAGCTGCGTTAGTGGGTGCTTGATTAATTGAGTATTAGCATTTGTTTGAGCATTGCAGCAGTCGTAAGCTTTATAGGCGAAGATAATTGCCGAAGCTACTGATTTAATAAGAAAAAACTTTCATAGACTTGTCCATCAAAAACATCTTTGAATTCGATAGTTTTATTTTTTCTTTACAGAAAGTGAATTGCAGCAAGGCAAGCCTTTTCTTTGCATTGTAATATTATCAGTTGAGGCTTCTTTATCAGTTCAAACAGAACAAATAGCATTGAAGATGATCCAAGAATCACGGAAGTTCTAACATTTTAACTCCTTATTCATATCTTAGAGATGCGGCCATAGCTGTATATGCTGATTAACTAGTTAGTTATTAATATAGAGCTTAAACTTATAATAGTGAAACTCTTATATTGTACACTGCAAACACTGGAAACAAATTCCACTGAAACCGTCATCGGGGGTGTTCGCTCACATAGTTTAAGATTTTGAGATCAGGGTAGTGGATTAAATAAATAAATGATTTACCACGTACTATGGACTGAGTAACATCTAGCTTCACAAAACGTTATATGCTTTACGCTTAGGCAATTAAACTATGCGTTGAAGCTAGTAGGATTCAGCTGGAAGGTGGATCATAAGCAGCTGTATCTCATCTGATCAGATAAATGGTAAGATCAGATACAAATGATACTGAAATTTCATTGAGCAAGGACTTCAAATGCTAGACGTAAGTTTAGAATAATGAATTATGACTCTACTTTTTCGGAAACAGATCCTGTAGGCCTATACATATAGACAGCTTCATTTCAATCGTCCAACATACGAAAATCACCGACAGAAGTAAAGGCCAGTTTTTGATTATTATTTACAATCTTTACAAGATGTCTTGAGTATCAAGTACAGCAAATTGTGTGTAACGGTCGTTTTTTGCTGTCAGAAATACGCAATTTCAATTATTTACCAAAAAAGGCAAACATCTCAGTTTTAACTATACATTATCTGATACTAAAGATTCGATACTCCGTCATATGATAAAAACTGATAAACTAACCAAAAAGCAAGATTCAGTATTGAACTTCTAATCATTGAATGTATGTAGTAATTTCGGTATGTTCGTAATATTTAAAAAGCTCTATGCTGCAATTGAAGAGGTTATTGGCTGTTGGATATTTTACATCCACGAGATACAACCTAACTTAATAGTTATAGCTCTCATCAGGATGCTGTATGCAACCTGGATGCCTATGACATGATGGAAACGAAACATGAAGCCCTCTTACAGATTAGTGTAACACGTTGGAAGAGATTTACGCATGAGAGAAACAATTATTCCTTTTCACATAAAGTTACCATATTTAAAGTCGCACAAGTTACTGATAATATTTGGAAATGCGTGTAATTCATTCGACACTATCATGCGTCATATTACACCGTATTAAACACACCATCAACATATCTGTTCCTTTACGAAAGGCCTCTCTATGAATATCCAAGTATATCTTGACATGAATTTACATCCATATGAAACTTATATTACAATGTGGCGCTTGCAATCAAACTTGGCACAACAGCTCTCAGTCAGGATATGCAACAAAATACTGTAGGGGGAAAAACTGTCCCATTCGTTTAAATAATCTTGACTTTTACCCAGTATATTGCCAAAACTCGGAAAACAAAGCCACCACATACTGCGTTCGATAGAACAGCCTATAGGGATTACAGCAACATAAAAACCTTATGGCTGGACTATATTTTAATCCCAGTATAACCAGCTAAAGTGAGACGTGGCAAAAATGTTAGGTGGGTAATTCTAGATGATATAAAATGGTTGATATCTTTACTTCCAACAGGCGTATTGAAGAAATCTAAAAAACTACCCGCGGTATGCTCAGGATATTTAATATCCCAGGAGCACTCTAAAAGTGTAAAAGAAGCTAGTTTCTTCATGTATTTTCTTTATTTCTTTGCTTTCTTATTTTTTTTCAAAACTTTCATTTTGCCTGCTCGTTTAACACAAGATTTGCGCAACATTCTCCAATCTTTGCTCTAACGTGGTCTTTCGCTCTCAAAGATAAAGAATTTGTATCCAGAAGTGGGTAATTCTACCCTTACAAGGCTCAGAAAACTATATTGTCCTGACCCAGCTAGACCTCTTGGCGGAAGACCGAAAAAACTTGATGCTAAAACTATGTCCCTAGTGTCAAGAGGACTTCGATCAGGTGCTTTAGATAATCCCCGAGCAGCACAAGAAATTTTAAGATCGATGGGCCATGATATGTCAATTAATGGCATCCGCAAGTCATTGAGACGAAATGGACTTAAATCTCGTAGAAAAGTAAAGACCAATTTTGTTAGCAAGACAAACAAGCGGCTTCGATTGGCGTGGGCTAAAAAGCATAGGCATCTTACTATTGCTGATTGGCGTCGTTGGGTGTTTTCGGATGAAACAAGAATAAACCTTTGGGGCTCAGATGGTAATTCCTTTTACTGGACGAATGGTGGCCGAATCATGCAGTCGTATCAAGTCAAGTCTCAGTTGCAGGGAAATGACGGTGGGGTCATGTTCTGGAGTTGCATAACAGCGGAGGGGCCTGGTTATGGTACTACCATTATTGAAGACGCAATAAACTCGGGCTTGTATGTCGATATTTCGAAGACATCATTGAACGACACTCTTGCGCACTTTGGGAAGACACCATCTGATGTGCGATTTCAACAAAACAGAGCAACACCGCATACATCGGGCATTACTAAACAATGGTTCACCGAAAATGGGTTTAACCTAGACGAAATCATGGATTGGCCACCCCAAAGTCCCGATCTTAATCCCATTGAACATGTCTGGCATCTCCTAAAGCTTCGTCTTAATAAGTATCCTACTAGGCCCTCTACAAAAGAAGAATTAGAGCGGCGTATTAACATTCAGTGGTACAAAATAACAAAAAAAGAGTGCCAGAAATATATTGATAGTATGCCTGCCCGAATCAAGGCTGTCACCAAGAGCAAAGGTGGTTCAACTCACTATTAATGATTTTATAATAAAATGTACATTTTTCTATATTTATTTTTTAACCAATAAAATCATTGGATTTTAGTTTTTGAAAAAGTTATAATTATGTATAGATAGCACTACTTTCTCTCATTCAAACGATATATATTTCGACTTTGTATACAAAGAAATGACCAAAAACTTGTGCAAAAAGACAAAATTTTAAACGAACGGGACAGTTTTTCCCCCTACAGTATATCAGATAGACAAACAGCAAAATGACTATCACTAAAACATCACCACTTACTCCATTGAGTAGAACAAACCACAGCTACATTAATTTCAAGACATTGTACACGTATTAGCAACAACAATCTACTGTGTTATCAAACTTAATTGTTTATATTTATTATAGATCTTA